GAGCGTGCTTATGAAAAACTTTGAAACAAAGACCAACGAAAAGGTAGTGGTGAGTCACAGGTACCAATCAGCTTGCAGTATTCCAGTTCGGAGAAGCTTCTACTTGTGTGCGTCGGCCAGCACAGCATAGCAGCTCGCGTATGGCCCATGATAGTGATGGCGGCGTTGGTGCGCGACACCGATTGGGTGATCTTGCCCGTCAAAAAACGAATGCGCAGACAGCTCCCGGGGGTCAAGTTGTGCGATCTACGACGTGGTGTGTCAGGCATGTAATACTTCAAGTCGTGACGACGACAGCTATTTCCAGGTTCAACGAAAATTTTGATAAAACATTAAAAACTGGGGTTCTTAATTTTCGGAGCTTGAAACGTTGTTAAGTAGACTTGCAAATCATCCAAACGTACATTCACCTCTGATTAGGCAAGAGCCCATATAAGTTGGACATATATGGTGTAGCATAAGTTCAATTTGGAGCCTTTGTTCCTAAGCCAATTCTAAAGCATTTTTTTAACTTGACATCATATCACAACCCGGAAATGGTGGTTGGGTGTGTTTACGTTAGGAAGATTTGAGAGCGTAGAAGCCGTAGTGCTTTATAAATCATGACTTACGGGCAGATTTTTTTAAATATGACGTTAAAATATGCTAGAAACGGAATTCTTTGTCATTCGAAAGCTGTTTCTAAGCTCAAATATCATTAAATGAAGTCGCCATGTAAACATGAAAGGATGTGGATCATAATCAGATGATTTCTGATTTTCTTACAAGAGCATTGTCAAATAAAGAATATCAATTCAGGTTATTTCTGATCAGAATAAGCAAGTCTTCAGAGAAAATTTGTCCGAAATTCATGAAATTGAAAACGGACCATATATAACCACGGTATAACCCGTATGCATAAGAGGAAGCAATGAAATTAATGGAACTGATTTCACCCTAGTGCAGCTTTTTGAGTTTCGCCTAACAAACACGATTTTCGAATACTGCTGATGCCGCATTTTGATTTCAGCGAGGTAAAACTAGTGCATTCAAACATATTCAGTTCAAAATTTAGAGAATGACTCATTGATTGTCGTGAGCAGCTGGTCGTACCTGCCAAAAAGACCTCCAGGTCTGATTTTGATAACGCTTTCTATGGGTTTGGATAAAACTTCAAATTACTGAACTTCCACTCGACTTGCATTTACAAGCCATGAAGCAGAACATCCGTTCCTTGTGTTGTTGATAATGAAAGAACTGCAATTGTTGGTGTCGCAATATAAGAACTTTGATTGTTATAATTAATCTACTTTGAGGAATGTGAAATCTATCAGCACTCAATAATTTGGAGTAAAAATTATCAAGCAAAGTACCACAACTAAAATATTTTTATTTCAATTTAAGCGATGTCGCAGTGACCTTTCCACCGGATTAAGCACGCCTGCGTCTGAGTTGATTGGTTTTCCTTCAAATACTACCAACTTACAAAAACAAAATATGTCTACTTCACCTTGCAAACTTAAGAACATGGGAATTCGAAAACGCAAATTTCAGCATTGATGGCTAGGAGACACTAATCAGGGAAATTTTGTGCTCCTTAGTGCCTAAGCCTACTGTACGACAAGCCAATAACCTGGCAGTGTGTCCCTGTAGTGGCTTGTCCAAGCACTACCTTACAACCCCCTAGTTAACAGCCCGTAACAACTCGAGAAGAGGCGATAGAGGACACGACCGTTTATTTGCGTCACACCAGCGTCTTAGCGTGTGTGCGAGTGAATGGGTGAAAGGGGTCTGATACAGTAACCAATGAAAAGGGATGAGTCATTGTCACCGTCATGTCGGTAACCAGGGTTCACTCAGGCGCGATCGCTGTTAATCCGCTACATCCCTTCAAGACCACCACCAGTACACCTGGTAACATAATCAAATAGGTTGTGTAATACATCCATCATTAAATAACACTACTATTTAACGTATGAATAATGAACATGGCAGTTAGGGCACCCAAAGGCGAATGTGGTCAAATCGACTCAGCGTGACCACAGTCAAGGATGCGGAACACCATCAAACCGAGTACCAGAAATATGGAAGTGCACAATGTGGAAAAATGAATCGTTTCTACTTAAGCACGTTGTTAGGCATCAAAGGGCAAAATTATATAATCTATAAGGACATTATTTTGGCAGTTCCAACCGTATAGACTGCCAGTGCTCACCCAAGCTCATTTTACCTGAGCAACTAAAACGCTATGAGAATATTGTAAAGATTTTGTGTGAATGGTGTTTAGCATGCTAAGTACAGTTCTGATTAGTTCCACTATAAAAAAATTGACAACCTTATACAACAGAACAACCTTTTAGATACAGTCATGAATCCCCTCGTGCTGATGCATGAAATCGCTTAAAAAATGCCCGAGTCAGACTCTAAGGGTCTAATAAAAGTTTGGTGGTAGTGGTTTAGGGTTGCGCTAAATGGTGGAATTTCAATGGAACCACATAACCAAAACTTGTTAAATTAATGGAGAACTTTTAACTGGTGATGCGATACCTTAATAGATAGGCGGATCCCATGCATCCGAGGTGCACTTTACGTCCACTGTATCACTTGTTATGTAAACCAAAATGTACCGATTGAAATTCTCACGTGAGGCTTCGCACATCATTCCGAGCCATTCCAAGGCTTGAATTGTACTAAAATACACAAGAAACTTACCAGGATGACCATGCCTCTGCCCGTTGCCTTAACTTTGATTTCAACCAACACACTTTATTGGTGTAAGATGATGGCATCTCTTCCAGCATAATGAACCAAAATGGCATTATAGCGGGCACTATTTGTCCTAGTTCGATACATTTCTAAAAAAAGGCGGATACTATTGTTAGGGCAACAAGTAAACGCCACAAGGCGGTTTTGTCGATCTGTTATGGCTTCCCATACAACTTCTTCCGTAAACACTTACACGAGGCGTAGCACCGCGAAAGTGGGCATTTGGACTCTACTGCCCAAGGTCAGACATGCCTTCCGTCGCGCCATCAGCAGGTAAGGCCATAAAGAAAGTTACTTTTGAAGCTAGACGACCCCGCACATTCCACAAACGTTTACACCTTTTGAGGTAAACATTTAAATACCCACTTACCTGAACCGGCTCATTCCAACAAACACTTCAATATAAATCCTTAATGCATGTATTTCAGTTTATGCTTCATTCCCGAAGATTTCTGAACATTAACCAGTCAGGCTAGGGTACTTTCTTTTTACTTCAATCAGACAGTTTCCAATTAAGCAAAGTTCAAGGGTATTAGCATTCTGAGTTGGCATTTTTAGTATGGTTGTGGAATCTTACCATCACTGGCTGTCAGCATGCTGGGTAACTTACATCTAGGGTAGCTCGAGAATGGTAGTTCTCCGGAATTAGCAAACCATTCGTGAGCTCGACTGTTTGTTTGCCGTTTAACTTCTTACGTACCGACTTTCAGCCATGCAAGCGCTGACAAGTTGCCGCACACGATAATCGATGAAACCTTGTGCCGAAAAAACGAGGCGCCTTTACCGACGTCCGGCCCAATTTTCAAGTATCTAATTATATTAGCTGATTTTAAATGCCAGACGAAATGTGTGCATTGGCGGCGCCGCACCTAGTGGCCCAAAAACGCAAAATCCAGACCCCGATGTGTACAGTGAGGGGCAAATAGTAACTAGAAAAAAGGCATTTGAATTGGTATTTGGTAGAACCTAGACCACCGGTTACAATCTTAAGCATAAAACTTTCTCGTACTGGCAAATGCTTTTAAAGCAGTAGTGAACCAATCAGCCATCTAGATCAAACAAGAGATAGAATATGCTTTGCATGCAAATTTTTCGTAACCCATGGTGTGATTAAATTGTTTTGGTATAGTAATGGTTTGCACTCTGAATCTCACCTGACGCCGGTTTGAACTTACCGTTTGCCATTTGGTTATGAAGGATGATTGCACGGTGCAAAGCGGTAATGCGAGCCTTAAAATAAACACTGCATTACCACAGTACTCATAATGCCTTGCTGATCACACGAGGCAGCATGAATTTATTAGACACCCCGATGGCTAGAAACCTCATGGCTAATTAAGACGATGTTGGCCTCACACTAAACCTGTGCCCAATACTTAGAGCAAATAAAAGTATTCACCACCTCCCGAGTCACGGAATTGTAACACCGACAAAACCAACTAGAATGTCCCATACTCCTAACCCATTTCAACGAAACCTTACAGAAAATCATTTGCATTTAAATTGGTACATTTCGGATGCTGACACTGAAACAGCGGTGGACGGTTTTAACAAGTCGATGGACAATAGTTATTCCACGATAAGTAGCAGACATAAACAGCTGAAGTGACACAACTGATTGAAATCCAATGGGCCAATTTCACAGCAGAGGGACCTTTCGCGCGCACACCTAGTCAAGGGACATTTAAAAGCCCAAATTGACACTAAGGTCACCTACGGCCGTTCGCTCCTTACTTTAAAGTAAGGTCGGTGTGAAGATTCGTGCTTGCACGGGTTCCGGCCAAAACTATGCCCTAGTGTGCAACCTTGTAAGGATTAAGGGAGACGCGCTAGTCACAACCAATGTCTGTCACGAATTCGGTCATTTAGGTTTAGATTTCAGTTGAGCTGTAGGCAGTTAATACGATTGAAAGATCCCGGAGAGAGTAACAGTTGGACGAAGTTTACATCAACAAGGGGATCCCGGGACATCGGATAAGACACGGGCTAAGTGAACGTGCGAAAAGGCATTCTATTCAAAGCGAAATTTCGGTACGTGCGCACACAGCGCCAAAGACGCAGGAGCACAATGTGCGATTCTAGTGGAGGAATATATTCCGAACAGGAATAATCAAATTAAGTGAAAGCAGAGGAAATTAACAGTTATCCTCAAATCAGAACGGCAACTGAAAATTGCAGAATGCAAGACCATGCATAATAGTAAAAAAATAGGCTCTGTCGAAAGAAAGACACTCTTAAGCGGTTGCTTTCATGGTTCACTTCATCATGGTGGCTTGGAGCGGTAAGCTTGATTGGGGACGTAACCTACGCCGAACGAGTGGAAGAGTTTTCGCAAGAATCATCACCAGTGCCGAGATGTCCACGTCGGGCGTGGAGAGGCTTGCATAGTCCGGGGCGCGCACAGCCTCCATTACCTCCGACAGACCAGCCTCGACTTCATTCTTATCGGCTTCTTCCAATAAACTGTTGTTTGCATTGGCGCTTTGAGTAGAAGTGGGGGGGCGCGTCACATCAGCCTTGCACCAGACACGTTTTGTTCGAGTCCAGCTGTAGGAATTATCAAAGAGGAGATAGTAGCTCCCCTCGATACTCGCCTTCCAGTTTCCTTTCTCGGGTACAAGATCGCAATCCACTCTTGTGGGCTGCGTGACCTGTTTCAAATCTGATTTTCCTGCCCCTTGCCCTCCCAAAAGGTTATTGAAAGAGAAGGAGGTGGAGATGCCACCACCACCGCTTTGACCACGATTTTTGACCGACCTCCGTCGATTTTGTTCATCGAGAGGCGAGTGATTACCACCCAATGGTTCCACCCATAGGCTGAAGGCGATATCGTTTGACTCGGTGTAAAACTCCCACAATATTTTGTCCCCGACCTTGGCCTCGCCAACGTAATAGTATTCTTTGCTTCCTCGGCTCACGGGAACAAGGAGAAATGTGTCATCACTATCTTCAGCGGGAGCATTCGGCGTCTGATGGATTTGGTAGTAAGACTCGGGAACAGTTCCACCCCAGCAGATTCTAGAAGAACATTTGGGGTCACCATCAGGATCACGCATCTTGCCACCATAGTGAGCCGGAAGACCTTCGGGATCAAAGAGCTTCAAGAGATCATCAACGTAGTTGGAGCCAAGTATCTAGGACAATTTTAGAAAGCAACGTTAAGTTAGTAATATGACATTCGTCTAACGCTAGGCACCCGCGTTGCTCGTTTAAAACACAAACAAATTATTTAGCTCTATATTCATGTGAATTGCATTCTGGTAGGCCTGAATACATTCGCTCGGCAAGACACTAAATGATTTCCTGTTTTGAAAATGGAGCGCAGTCAGATGCGACTGAGGGATTGACTGTTTAATTAAAAACGAAAACCGTAATTAAAGGGTGGAAGAGATAGATCATAAGGATTATCATCTCTGACAATCACCAAATACACTACCACGGAAAAAATCACCGTTTTATTTTCAACAATAAAGAGCTCAAACGCGAAGTGAGATATCTGCTGAAGTAACAGAAGCCGGTTAACTGGATAGACAGTCAAGTAGGTTAAAATTCTCATAAAAAGTGCCCGAAGCCAGAAATTCCATGGCTGCACAGAAACGATGTCAAAAAAGCCAAATACATTGCCAGAGGGTCATTTTTACGGACAAATCAAAGCGGCGCTTAATGAAATCAATTCAAATACCAGAGAGGGTGAAAAATATACTGACGGCCTAGTGCAAGACGCGATAATCGAGAAGTCAATAAAACAAAAAAAGGATATACAGTATCCACCCCTTCTGTTGGTGTCAAGGGCATGCTTATATTAAAAAAATTGCATTATATTTTATCGACAAATTACACGGCTCTACTAGATGTGAGATAGCATCTAAGTTTTACCAGGCAGCAAAGTAGCAAAAAATGAGACATGATATTAAGTTCTTTTAGGTGGAATTTTGCACAATCTACATAGTAAAATCAGTGGCATATACACTCAAGCACAGCCTATGAACTGAAAATAGGCTAAACAGTCAAAATACGAGGCAAACAAACTTATGTAATGCTAGTCAAGGGGAAGCGATGATTTATGAGAAGTACAAAAGTGTTTTATGAGCAAAGTGGTCAGTGTATATACGAAACCGTGAGATGTGAATCGCCATTTCAGAATAAGTCCACAAGGCTAAAGGTGGCCAGCAACAGAGGGAATTTCAATTTGACCAAAGATATGCGCAAATCCCACATTTCCCACTGCATGCAGCAGAGCGCTCCTTGCCGACCGAGTCCTAGCAAATGCTAAGAAATAGTTGTTGGAATTTGTCACAAGTACAAATGACCGCACAATTTGCAAATAAGAATTTTAAAATGGAGCGAATAGAGTAGTCCTGATCTCAAATCACTGACATATTGAGTCCGTCGAAAAAAACCAAAAAAACAGGTCAAGCAACCATGTAACTCGCCCAAAAAGCTCTACTTGCCAGACGTCTGGCAGCTGCAAGAATTTATAAGCTGAATATCACAACAGCTGGCACTGATGTAGGCAGTGAGCAGAAGTGCGATAAAATTTGAAGACTAGCTCAAGACAAATAGCCAGAATTTGTGACAAGACCAAATGGCAGACCTCAAAGCGTCTTTGGTGTTGTGGAAGATACATCATCGACTCACTCTAAAGTGACTTCCGGGTAGTGTCCAAGTAGCCGATATAGATCACAGGCTCTATCCAAGAGAAAAAGCCAACCCCCATGTGCAAGGTTAACCTGGGCTTGGTCGACAATCGAAATCACCATGTACAAAATCTTAAAATGGAAATTGCACCAGATACTAGTTACCATTTGCGATTTGCCATTAAGTAGTTTCCGACGGCAGTTCCATAAACCAGCCCCCAGAACATGTGATGGCTTAAACGAATTCCTGGGAATTCGGCCCGCCAGTGCAAGCATGCAGCCACACGCCCCTGCAAACGTCCGGGAAACGAGGGCGCCCGCGACAGGAACAACTTTGTTAACTAGCATGCGTGCCAGTGTGACAGGTTAACCTGGTATGTGATTCTAATCGATGCGGACGCTAACATACTATTCATTCCACCAAAACACACGGAAATCACCCAATCCCTTTTGCTTCTGCTCAGGTTACTTGCTCAAATAATCCCAGCCACGAAGACGTCTGTGAAGCTTGCCATACTGAACCACCCTATTACGGACGCCAGTTTTCTCAACTACTGATTAATCAAACAGCCTAACGAAAAAGTAGCCCCGTGGCAAACAATGGGAGTGAAAAAAAATTGAAACCCACCAAAAGGGCACCGGTCGCCACTCACCTTAACTGCAAAAAGCATCAGAGAATTATCAACCGAAATTGGTACACCGAATACGGACATAACATCAGGCACACAGTCTCGACCAACGGTAGTCCAATTAATGCTCAAGAACGTCGTCTTCCGCCAACCACACAGTCTATGGCTAAAGACAAGTTTGGACACGCGTTGGAACTTGACGCAGTTTGTCAGTCCATTAATTTCTCCCCAATATGGACGGCTTAGTTCCAAAATCGAACCTGGAACACACCTTGAACGACATCGTACGAACCAGAGTATACTGTCACGGCACTACGGTCTTACCATTAACTAAAGGCGACACAAGCAGGCCAAAGTGATGCAGTGTGCTATCTTATCCGGAGTCAGGTATAAGATGATTCTGTTGTAGACACACAAAAATCTTAACCACTGCACCCCTCAAACGTAGTGGCCGGACCCCCCTAATTATGTCGACCGACCACGTGAGGCACGTTTGAGCACACTCGGTCCTGCTCGGCCTAGGCGGCCTCGTGCACTCCAACACTGTTGACCTCATGCGTACACGTGTTCATCACACACGAGACAACACGTCGACGGCTTCAATCAAACCAAAACCAACCCTTTAAAATAATTAGGAGGGAAAAACTCTTGATAGGCAGCGCGAAGGGAAAGTGGAAGACGCAGTGACCGACCAATCGAAGCCTGTAGTTCTGGGTTTGTTACAACTCTAAAATAGGTACACATCTATTTGGTTTCAACTTAAAAAGTTCAAAAAATTAACATTTCAGTGGGCTTCTGGGAAGGAAGGGTTGGGAAAATCAAGCACATCAACGAAAGACACTACTACAGTCACAATAGACAGAGCATCGCCTTGAGTATCGACGAAAAAAGCCAGATATCTCTCACAGAGAATCTTCAACTTACCAGGGTTACTGCTGTGGGAAGTTTTAATGGACACGGAAACAGTACATGAGCTTACACGTTTCTTATGATGCAAAGATAAAACAGCCAATTGATAGTATAGCCGGATATCTACTGACGGTTGGCATTCAAATACATTTATTACATTAGCGCGGTAGAAATGGCCCCTTGTGCCATAAGACGAAATGTTAAGCAGACGATGAGCCTGGCCGGTGATAGAACTGCAGTGATCAGACAAGAGTTAGTAATAAAATGAAATTATCACTGCTGAATACTTCTATTAGGGTGATTGTGGCCAGCTTAGTGTTTATTTTAATTCCAACAATGCAATGATTTATTTCAAACAGCTTCACACGATATAAACTGGAATAAAACACCTGACAAGCATGACATTGAACTAAACAGTAATAGAATTAAATGTGGGATTAGGTGCGCTAAAACGCGAGTCTTGGAAAATGGGAAAGAAATCTAATGGGTTGTTTCACTAGAATCCTGCAAATTTAACAATAGTAAATTCAGGAAACAGACAGACGAAGCAAAAAACACCCAGTAGCACATTAATGATTAAAGGTGGAATGGAAGGTAAACAAAGTGACCGGTAAGACATAGCACAAAAGGCAAGTCAAATCATTGACTTGAATGGTAGAAGGTGGTGACACACACGACTTTCCAATACGAAAAGGATAAATTAGAACTAGGCTGTTTTATGAAATACAGGTAATCCGTTTTGTTTTATATGCCGTTATTTATCAGAAAAAAATTACCTTGTTAAAAATAATCGTCGAAAAAACGGTATCTATTTTTTGCCTAAAAGAACACAAGGTGCGCTGTATAGGTGCATCGATTGAGTCCCATTGTCGAGGCACTTCGAAACCAAATTCCCAAAACCAGCTGTAATTATGCGTAGGGACAAGAATTCACGTTGCAAGAGTGTAGCTGTGTGATGCGAACGGGAGCTGCGTTGAGTCCCTTTAGACGCTAAAGTTAAATTACCCAACATGTTCCGTAAGAAAAGTGACGGGTTTGAGACAGGTGGGAGGGTAAAGCCCTTACGCCCAACTTCGAGGGCGTGGTGCGAAAAGGAGTGAACAGGCAGATGGTTTCAAAGAAAGTTTTAAGTAAGAAAAGGCATGTAATTTTAAATGATTTATGCGCTTGTCCAATCAACGGAGTACATCGACACCAAACCCATTACAATGGCCCATACGACAAATAGGGGGCATTTGAGAAATTGTGCAAACCTGAAATGGGCACGCGAATTACAAAATCTGCCCATTGATGATTAGTAGATTGCTACACCGATAAGATGCGAGATACTTTTATACTGAAGCACAAATTTGTACAATGTCAACTTTGAACACTTTTTTTTGCAAATGATACTGACCATACTATAAACTCGGATGCTGCACTGAGTCAGTAGGCATTACATGCGTGAACAGACAAGAGTGATAAAACGGAGCAACCAGAAATGAGGGCACCCAGATAATCGAGCCTGTGAAGAACTAACAGGAGAGCTAAATGGCCACTGGTGTAGTCTGACATGACTGATTCAACAATAAGGATCAGCACTAGACTCTCATGCATTTACTCCGACAAGAATGACAAAATTAGCAACAATTGAAGCATTTGCACATCAAAAACCTAGCCAATTCTCGGTAGATCGAAGTGGATTTGATGACATTGAGCAAACAAAACCGCGAATAAAGCAACCTGGTGCACTATGCGATAAGGCTCCAAATGCCATGACAACCAAAGTTGACCACATTTTCAATTAAACAAAACGGTGCAACACAAGCCCAGGGCTATTCACCTGTTAGTTGGCTGAAAAATTTCAAATAACAATGGTACTGTCCCGTTACGCCTATCAAAATTCCAAAAGCAATCTCTTTAGATAAGCGTGGTGGTGGGCGTAAAGAACGTTTATGGGAATCAGAGAATTGAAAGAGCGTTAAGAATCACTTAGAACGATTGGTTGACCGATTGATGTTAACACAAAGGTTAAAGGTTGTGCAGAATGTCTAAAGGCTAATTTGTATGCAGGTAAAAAACTCAACCCCCAAGTGCAGCTACTAGAATCAACCTCATCCTAATGCATCAAAAATGCCCAAAAGTGATTTGAATTATTAAGAAAAACTAGCAAAAATCGATTAAATGCAAATGGAGAACAAATAACAAATTCTAGGTTATGATAGAGCACAAAAAGAAGCAAAAAATCGCAATTGTCCCTCCTCAACACCCCAGGCATTAAATAAATCACAAAGGGAAGCTGTCCATGTGGATGGTATCTGCTTCAACTCATTTCCACCCAAATTCTATAGGAGTGTACCAGAGAGAAGTGATCGATTGTCAGCTACTTATTTAAATATAGGGTTGTTGATGGAAAAAGCGATCACTGGAACCCAGCTTTGCAGATGCTTGTTAAACTATTGTGTACGCTGGATGCAACACTGAAGTACACAGTCCAGTAAAAAGGCCAGGTGATCTCCGCCGTTCTAAAGTTCTCTAGGTGAATTTAACGCCAATCGCGTTGCAGCACTTGAGTAAAGTGGTGCCAATCCTAACAGAACGGAAGCGTAAATCCAAAAAGCCACCTTATTAAATCAGATGTTTTTGTAAGTCGCTGAAATTGATGCTGTGCTTCCCCCTGATGCAAAATTACGCACATGAAGTTTTTAAGATATGGTAGTGATCTTGTTCTGGATTAACCAATCACAAACGTCATAATGGTATGCGATGTAATGGCTGACATGCAATAGCAAATCACGGTTAAGTAAGCTTTGCACTAGTTCAAGACAAATGCTATGCTGTCATGGATGCCCAGATGAATCGCGCACGAGAGCATAAATACACATTCGCATTACAACATGATGTTCAATGATATCAGTCAATTACCTAGTGCAACACCGAAACATATTTGGGCTTTTCGGTTAGGTTGTGAAGTAAATAGGTTTGAAGCTGGTACCTAGAGGATTCGTGAAATTTAGTGGAGAAGCGTTTGGAGCATTGTGACTATGACAAATTTCCACAACATTCACTCCACTGCATAGGCTAGAGCACGGAAGGCGTCTTTCTGCCACGCATAAGCAGCAATCTTAGACATTGCGAAATCGAAGATTTCTGACTTTAACGAAGGACACTATGCTTCTCCAAAGCCGATAATAATCATCCCCTTAGAGTGAAGTGCCAAATACGCGAAAGTTGCTCCCAACGGGACAATTTCTCGATCATAACCGGAAAAAATTTCACCTCATGGGAGCATATATGATAAAAAATTACCTTCCAAGACAGATCCTCGTTAGAATGTCGGGTAAAAGTGGAACAAAACCAGAACAAATTGCAAAGGCGCGAAATGGAATCAGGGTTTGTAGGTTTTCAGCATGAGTTTTAGTTGGTGAGGCTAAGTACAATAAGCATAACAAGTTCAATCAATCTGCTCATTGTCCTGCCTCGAATCTGCACAGAAGCAAATTCACAAAGACGCAAATCTGGCAAGTATCCGTTCGAGTGAACGCGTGAGGTTCTTCAGGACGAATGCATTCTAAAGCCCGTTCAATACATTGGGAACAAAAAGGCGATGTGCACATGACCAATTTGTTAACAAAGGCTAGAAAAGACGAACTGAGACGTCGGCGTTATAATTTCTCGAGGCACACAACGTGCTGTCACAGAATGAGAACCAAAAGTTAGTGGGACAAAAGGGGTAGTTTTTGGCAGTAAGAGGTTAGGGGAGAGTGATGGCTCAGCGTGGCATTAATTGAAGTCACTTTGTAGGACGTGGCAGAGGTGAGAAGACAGATGACTTAGTATAAATTTGTTTAACATATCCGAGATAAGGTTCACGATAGTGGAGTGTCAGAATGCGATGCACGTAAGCACAGAAGGGTATTATTACATGCCTAAGGTGATGAGGTGGTATGCAGGGCTAACACGCTTGTAGAACCGGACCAATGAGATAAAAACGGTCACTCTAATCCCCGTACATGTCATCGAAGGCCACAAATAGCAAACTCCAAGGAATACAAGGACTGAGAAAAAGTGCCACGGACGCTGTTTAAGTTGCAGAACCAACGTTACAGCTTGTAAAGATAAGACGATCTACCAATCGCTTTGGAGTGCAATGATGGCTTGGCCGAGGACCACATTTATTAGCTTAAACGAGGGAGTTTCACTTAAAACTTAGATGACTGCATATAGTTTTGTGATTTTGCTCGTAATTAGTGGTATTTCTCACTCCCACAACACTCATACATCGGCATCTACAGCAAAACGTTCTCAAGAGTGTTTAAAACAGACATTTGCTTCCGCCGTTCGCCTCTACACTATCCTCTAGGTTTCGCGATTAGTTTCGGGCTTCAAGAGAGCCTTGACCGAGTCAAGCTAGGAAGCTTGTGGGAGGAACCGTTATACCATAGCACAGGTCGCCTTATCAGTACGTATTAAGTTGAAGATAGCTTTCAAACCGGCGGGGTTAGTGAGCGTTGGCGCTATTTACTAACTTGAGTGTTTAGAGGAGCTTTCGTGAAATCCAGCGGCACATTAATGCATAGCAGTTGTAGCAAGTTACAGGAGCAAATCTCACCTAATATCTGTAGACGAGATACTGAAAAGGTCAAAAATATTAAGGCGGTGATGGGTTGTGCAATTGGGTTACCAATTAGAGGGTGATTCAATGCAACAATTTAGAAGAAACCAATAAAGTACCAATGCTACGCCGCATATTTGAACCCCGAATGCGACACGAGTTGACTTACATGGATTTTGTTCTGAGTTTCCTTACTCAGCAGCGGTTTCATGAGAGAAAAGACCATTGAGAAGAAGGAAGGAGCATTGAGCACAAAACAGACAGCCATGAGTTCCGGGAAGTTGACCTCAAAAATGGAGGTCATTTCGAGGACAAAATTGAGCCACGGGCGCCACAACTGGCGCCGATTCATGTGCTGAAGGTCAAAAATTACGACCAGTTGATCAATTGGGCGACCCATTTTGCGAGCCTGGGCAGGCAAAACTTCGTCAATGATTTTTTGCATAACGTAGTACTGAGAAAGAGCTAGTTGAGAGCGAGAAGCCGATCGCATCAATCCATAAACGTCAGTCGTACCCGCTGGGCATATAAAAACTGGTCGACCAAATTTGTCCTGACCGCAGATTCCTCCAGGAAAGTATTTTTCAATTACTTCAGGCATCGTATATGACATCATGATTTCGTCCATCTAGCGAGAATAAAAAGGACAAAACTACCATATGTGGACAAATTGATTTGGGAGGTTAATTGTGTTTTCAGTAGTTTGCTGTACGATGTCCACCAGCTAAGTGGATGGAAAACGAAGTAATACAAGATACTATGTAAAAGATTTAAATAAAGATCAGCATCACGAACACTTGACAATTAACTGATACCTGGCTCAGCACTTATGAAGCCCACAGAGGAGGAGACCAAATAGCCACATCTTCATTTACTTGCCCAATTAGAGGAAAAATATTTAAAGAATTAAAGCGTGTAATGAGACTTATCAGACTATAATCAAGCGTAATTAGCGGTTTTATAAGTTCGAGAAACTTCAAAACAAAATGAACGCAAGATGTAACCCAGCACTACAATCATGCTAGTTTGAATTGGATGCCTAAATCTGTCAGTGGTAAGAATTGTATAGCAAAACGAAAGGTTTTGTTAATGATATGCAACCAGAATTTTGAGTGCATAATAACATTAATTACAAAGCAGAAGTCCGTGTCGTGAAGGTAGTTAGAATTCCATGAAAAACACAGTGCTTCATTAGAAATTAAAACAAGTTTATGAACACAAAGTAACAGGTAGAGGGTCTTAAGAACGTGAGAAAAACCGCATTGAATAAAGATACTAGATTTAGAGGAGTGTTTGGAGACAATTTAGCTAAAGTGAAGGGTTAATCCGGTTAACAGCGCAACATTATTAAATCCCACAAGCCCAAAAATTATTTCAATAAGAGCGCAAAGTCATAAAATGCCAAACGAAAAAGTTGGTGGTTTTGAAGTGGTTTGAGTTTGAGTGGAACGGCCTCGCGAAAGATTGTTAAAAACAAGAAAAAGTTAATGGGGTACCCTACAAATCAACGAAAAGTACCCACAAGGCTAAACATACGAGGCTTTGTGCGTATGCAAATGGGGAACACGGAAGAAATACGACAACCATTTGTTAAACACAGATCAAAAATTAACTGGTAATCTACGTGTTTGCCACGTAACGCTTACATTTACTTCTTTCCTCCATTGCAAATGGGACCTAAACATTTTTTCTGCTTTGTCAATATCCCAACTCCTGGCTTTTAACCACCTTGCAACGTATTGATCCTTTTCTAACTGACCCCATTGCAGGTCAGAGGTTCTTGCTCTAAATTGACGAAACAAATTCTGGTCGACATCGGCGAGGGATTCTTCAAGACTGATACCATCCATCACATTAGGTTACCATTAACGAATGCAACACGCCAAGCTGAAAACAAGTTATATCACTAATTGGTTTGTTTCAAGGTCACTTAATAAGCGAAAAATTTTGGACAAATTTGTCATCTACGAAATGTAATAATACAAATCTATAAAAAAGGCACAATTACTAAGCTAACTTAACACTTTGTAAATTTTTAATTAAAACTAAACACACTAAAACAGTTTTCACTCTATGGCCAACGTCCTAAATGAATGAATCCAAACAAATTATATTCCACGAAATTTAAAAAGCATCGGCAAGGCTATCGTTAACACCGGTTCATACATGTGTTACCTTAAGAGTGCTAGTCTGTTTAATTAGTAACTCCTTTAAAACATGTCATTTATAGATACACAAATTTCAAGTTTTCGATACATTGGTTTGAGGGGTACTATGGAATATACTAACCGAGGACGAATATTTAAGTTAGCATAGCATTTAACATGCCAGATGACTTAAAACTGCATAGAAGGCCTAAGGCAAAATCATTCGTATACTGCAAATAATCAGGAACTTTTGTGAATTATAGACCCGGCGATCAGCTTTATTAATACATTCAATAATAGCCCATCTAAAATCTAAAAAATGAAAAACTCCTAAGAGATATATCCAATAAAAGATAGTAGATTCCATTAACTCAAATTATATCGGCATTATTTATATATCGCATTAGCTTAACACCAGGTTATGAGGACCAAATTCTTTTCTTAGATGCACCAATTCGCATGTTTTCAATTTAACGTGTGGATTATCATGGTAGTTCAAACATTGCAACAGCTATTAATTTAAAAGTGCTATTATTCAAAAAAATTTGGATATGAACTCATGGAACTTTCAGTTTAATTCAAAAAAGGGTAATGATCTAGAGGACAGTAAAAAAGCGTTTCTCAAATGTACGCAATTCGGCTTTGCCATTCAGACTCAATTAATTAATAAAGCGAGCACCAATGGATTGCACAAACGTAATAAAGTTATTGAAGCTATAAGAAAATTTCGTGATCACTGAATGGGTACTGATCCGTTAATTTTGCTAAACCAAAACCTTTTTACTCATAAAAATTTGTTCAAAAAAGTAATCTAAAATTCTTGAAAACATATTTGATGGTAAAGTCTATTTATCATCATTTTGGATGAAATATTTAAGTGTCCTAAATTGTGGCATATAATCGAAATTTTACCAGCTGACGTCCGATACAACACCCATAAGTTACGCAAGGCACAAACAATCACACAAAACAGCCCAAATAGACTATACAGAGCAGAATCGTACCAGCATTTTAATACCATTATGATTGCAACAGACGCTGATATAAATCTGTAAAGATAGGTATTTGAAATGATCACAAAGCTCTGAGTAAATTTTTTGTAGATACGTTTAAAGTAAAAAGTGAATCCAGTGAATAAATTCACAATATATAGCTCCCAGATAAATGCTCAATTCTACAAAAAATAATCGATGTTTCAGTGTACAACGTGCTACTCTTTAAACTGCTGATACGATCTACATTTAGGGGCCTCGATCTTAAATGTACACATTCATGTCCAATGTTTTTTAGCGGTATTATTCTAAGCTGGAAACAATAATACAGTGCTATTTTCCTTAGTGTAATTTCATTTAAATAGTAAACTGCAGATTATAACGTGGATTTAGTGGAATTCCACTTCGGTCTGTAGGCTAAATTGAATTTACATCCTAATTATTGAAATATATGACATTTAAACTAGGTGCAGTAATGCACGCAGAGTCAAAGCAAGGATTAGGATATTGTTTAATTTAAACAGCCACCATTTTTGAACGAAAAAGGTGGTTGCTAAAATCCCAAAAAGTTGGACTTCATTCCAATGAATTTTACAATTTTTAAGAGTATTCATAGTTTTTTAGGTTCTTTTCTTTAAAAAATGATGTGCTTTGTTTTTAAAATAATTCTTTTTAAATGAATTGTTAATTCACTGAATCCTTCAGTTGCCGTATTTTTGAATTATTTGTGAGTTATCGTTTTGTTCCAATCGGCATTTTCAAGTTAAAGTATGGTGCTTCATTTACGATTTTTTAGTTTTGTGTAGATTAATAATTAAATTTTGTCATTATATATATCTGTACCATCGTATTATAGTTATTTTTTCTGGAATATATCTCGAAGTGTTTGTTTTGAACCAATTCCGTTTTCCTTAAAATTTACTACATCCAGTCGATTTGACTTATGAAAAATCTTATAATGCTTATTAACTGAAGGTACAGAACTGGTTATTGTAATGCCGTTGTTTTTCGAGTAAATGATAATTATGGTTTTAAACATGCCAGTTTAAATAGTTCTTTTGCTTTGTGTCTTCTAGATTAAACTGCATACACGAACCAGAACTAGTTGGGAATGTTAGCTTTTAATCCTTTAATTGATTGCATTCTTTATTAACGCCCCATTATTATCCATGCAAGCATTAATTGAGTTAGCAGCTACATTAGCCGCTAACTATTCAGTCTGAAAATCTGTTGTACCCTTGTCAGAAGTCGAGATTTACATGGCTAGCAAATTCCTATTTTACTTACTTAAAGGGGGCCTTTTTGCGCCTTTATCTATCTGCTAATAATTATCTGTTCTTGTTGTCTTGAGTTAGACATTCCAAAATGGTTCTTAGTATCAATGTGTATTTGCACCTTATTCGCTCGACGTTGGTTTTGAACTAATACTCTTTCTTACGTGGCTTATGTCAGATGAAGGTCCAGCGCAACATTCGGATAACTAAACGATTTTCTGATAAGTCTTCATCATTGAAGTCACAGAAGAGAACGGAAGACGATGCAGATGACATCTTTAGAGAACTGATGGACTCACCTATTCTTCAGTCTCCACAAACTCCAACCTCGTACCTAATGGATAGTTTGTATGGACTTCATGAAACGACGGCACCAATTACTATTCGCCGATCATGTCCATTGAGCCTATCGGATTTAGAAGAATAGTTGACTTTCCCCGCTTTGCTGTTTTTTGATCTTTTCTAAGAACTTGCTACCTGTATGCTATAAAATGTCTTATAATTGTTTTTTATTAATACCAGCTCTTTGGTGTTAGTGTCAAGATTTTGTTGTTGGGCACATTGTAATATTCTTTTATTTAGAATCGATTCTGTAGTAACTAAACGTCTCTGAGCAGGTTGGTTGCGCACTGAATAATTTGTATTATACCACCATTATTCAAAAATCCACCAAACTACCGACAATTATACAAAGTAAATTTAAATTCCTACATCTCGCAATTTTGGTTTCCCGTGAAGCTGGAATGGGACTCGCTTAGGTCCTCCAGATCATCTTACGTAAGAGTTACCTGAAAGTGCTGAGGGTCTACTGCACTGAAACCCAAATTTAGTGTGCACAAAATAAGCTGATCATTGTTATAAATACATTTGAAGAAGAAATTCCAGTTAAGTTGGACAATCTCTTTAAATCAGTTAGCTTTGATGGCACTTGGAAAAGCATAACTGTGTTCCGTAACATCACTTCAAAACATTTTGATTGAGGATTTTTTAAGTCATGCAATGCAATGGAATGCAATAAATCCTGATTTGGTTTTTTAAAACCTTGTTTTATTGAAAAAGACTGAATCACTTCGCCACCATGTTCTGATATTATCGACAGGAGTCCTTTGGTCATAATGGTGTGCTGAAGGCCCAAAGTGAATTTCTCCCACATTCGGACGATGAAATTTAACATCTTAGTTAACATCCAATCCGACAACGAATACAGTAGAAAAGAGAGAAGCAGAGACTCAACTCTGTATTAGGCCGACCAATTAGGGAGATCTTAGCCGTAAAGCTGCGCGAATTTATACATTAGGAGTTAGTCCAAAGAATTTGGAGTACATTAGAGTGGATACAGAGGTAGGTGCAGGTAGCTCAGCGGAAAGTCAATAGGATGCGTGAACTTAGAAATTGGCCATGCGTAAGCGGTTTAAAATCGCCAAGGTTGAACGCAAGTACAACACTTATGATCTCGCTTTTACAAGGAGTGGTATCCGTTACTAAACAGAATGCTTTATATCATTTGTATCCACTGTTAGACGGCTTCTGAAAGTCCATCAAATTTCCCACAGTTCCCAAGCGCAAATGAATGAAGACCTGAGACATGAGTTCAATATGAATCAAAGGCATCATGTAAAAATGAATATGTTCAAAATAAGGGAAAAGAGTGCGCAAAATTTATCATGATTTTTTCTATGTTTGATATTTGTAGAAATGACTTCAATTTTGCGATTAAATATGATTAAAGTAGTCGCTTTGGTAAAACGACGATCAAAACAGTTTAGATTGTGAAGGCATTTATAAACTGATATTATAATAATTAAACTAATGATTTTGCTCTGCTTATGCTAATGTAAATGATGCAACAGGGTCAATGATTCCATTGTGAATGCACAGCACTGTAGCTCCCTATAAGGTCATTAAGTGATTTCCTAAACGGTAAGATAAAAGTGGAGCAGCACGTATAAAAACAGAAGCCGAATTAGAAATGGATCTACTTGATGACTAATTTAAAGACTATTTTGATGCTCATTCAGCGTAACTTTACATGCACAAAACATACTAAAAAATCAAGGCATACACCAAATGGTAATCAACGGCAGAATCCTTCGTCAGTTTATTCAAATTGTTATAAGAAGCCAAAACATCAAGGGCATCGTTAGAATTTACATGACTTCACGGAATCTTTTAACAGAAAGAAGCATTACATAAGAAATAGTACGCCATTAAGGAAAGAAAGGAAACCGCTCAGGTAGTTAAATGTTGATAAGTCGCTTTGGTTCTTTACGAAGTATCATTTAACACTCTGAAGCAGTAAAAAAAGTCATTTTCCAGTAAAACATTCATAAAGAATGTACAGAAATTGCGGGAAGAGTCGATATAAAAAATCAGTTTTCCGAAGTTGTCTATGCGCTTTTAAGGAATTCAAAGGGCATGCGAAAAATAACTGATCGCATGTACTTCTAATAATAATATTATGAGCTTTCAATGTACTCTTGTCATCAAATTTGATAAAGATTTTTCACTATTCCAATACGCAAGGGTAGGAAAAATGGGCTATGCACATTCGCATGGTTTTTTAACGAATTCTGTGTAGTCAATCTTATCTAATTGTCTTATTTACACTTAACCGTCGTCAAACTGATTTAATTGAAAGAGCTTTTTTAATTTAATGCAGACACCTAATTTCTAAATTCACCTAAGTGATGACGCGCATTTGACAGCACATTAAGTAAAGGAATGCATGAAATTGAAAAGGGGTATCATATCAAAGTTACGATCAAAACCAACATTTGATCAATTTTTCATAAACCTCTTTACGAACAAGGGAAAATGAGCCTACATTTTTAAGAAGCTTTCGTTCAATACAAATTCAATTTTGTCACACTGATAATTTACATAACTTTGCATTACAAATGTAGAAAAATAAATTTGCACATAGTGACTAAAAATGTTCAGGCCAATTATGCCTTTTTTAATTTACGATGCTCGTTCTCTGCAAATATGTATATCTGACAACGACATGAACACTTAGTGATAATATATCGGCTATTCTTGAGGTTTTTGGATTTTTCCTTAGGAATTGCTTTTCGATGTATTTCTGCTGGCTTTTACTGCATCAACCAACAGATCCCTTGGATATTATCCGCTGGATTCAAGGTTATAACATATGACCTAGTGTACGGTTCTTTTGCCCGTTTTGTATTTTTTTTCACCGTTAGCCTTGTGGTTGCTTTGAAATCACAAAAAAATTTAATACAGAATTTCAAAATTTGTTTTAGTATCTTTGATTGTAGTGTATAAAAGTTCAAGGCTGCCAATTCCATATTTTTGATGTTTCAATTTGTCATAAAAATGGTCAGTTTTTGTATGCAAACCTGCCCCTGTCTTCTATATATGATGTAGTCTTATATCTTGGGATCAATTCCTGTGATTAATCGTTGTTAGTAGTATGAACTGGGTCGGGTCATGAGGCTCAAGCATTGCCTTGGGATTTCCTATGCTTTAAAATCGTCATAAAGGCCACAATTCGTTTAGAAGCCATCTAACACATTTGTAAAATATTTCTGTGTATATTTGATTAGAAATAAATGATTAATAATTAAATATGTCCTCGTTATTTTGGGTTATCGTCTTGTCACCCTTTCCTCAAAACGTTTACACTTTACATTTTAACACATACAATGGTATTTGAAATCAGTCAGAATTCTTTTTGTGCCTATTTTAACTTAGAAACTTTCAGTTACATTAGTTGTAATAATTCGTTTTGGATGATTTTTTGGTAATGGTCAGATGTAATTTAGTTTATCACTATTTTGGTACATTGCTGTTATTAAGAGGCAACACCCGTGTAACTGGTTGGTTCAAGTACAACTTGGAATTACTGAAATAATAGCCAATTCTGATTTTCTTTCAGCAATGGAGAAACTTATTCGCCACTTTAACACCAGTCCGTCGAACGTTGGCTCTTTAACTAAGAAGCGAACGAACGGCGTTTCTTCATCTACTGTCCGTTGTTTCGGGGTTCGTCTGGACGAACTCTGTGCCCGTGATAAACAAAATGTGCCTCTAGTTATAACACAAATGTGCGCATTCCTGCGAGCTGTTGGCGGTTTTCAAACTGAAGGTCTGTTTCGGGTGAACGGCAATTCACGTGTTATTGAATCTCTTCGAAATGCTGCCGACGCCGCCATGTCTGGGAATGTCTCCAATAGTGTTGATATATGTATTGCTAAAAGTGATCTGTTCCTCGCTCATCTTGAACGTTGTGGAGACATTCATTCTGTTGCAAGCCTTATCAAGCTCTTTCTCAGAGAACTTCCTATTGGACTCGTACCACCATCACATACTAAGGAACTGCTAGACGTATGTTTACTTTTGGAGCTATTTAGGTTGTCTGTTTCGATTGTAAAGTGTATTACTGACTCATGTCATCTCTGTATTTTTTCGTAAGCTGATGCCATCTTATTTGTAATCAGGCAATACGATAAGTCAGTTTACTCCCCGTTTCCATTACAGCAATAATCAACGCTGTTTAATATGCCCTACACCGAAAGTAGCATTGTAGCCGCATTAAATGTTTAATTTTTGCTTTTGGATTTTCACCAAATTTTTCCCAAGTCACTAAAGTGGGATGCCGTGGTAATTTAAGATGTCCTAACTTCAGTTCCTCGCCCTGCAAGAGAAATGAAATAGAAAACTAATGACCCATAACAGTAATAAACATCAAAAGCCACTTTAACGTTATTAGTCTCATCACGGTGTAAGATGAGCGTTTTTGTGACATGAGGTGTATAGTCTTTGATGGTGCAAATTACAATAATACTTGTTTCGTTCATAACGAGGGCACAGACTTCGCATATTATGGCGTTTTTTCGCTAATTGCGACGCCTTTCGTCAGTGTCTGAAAACATCAAGGCCAAAAATGCAATAACACACCTTTAAGTATGCTAGCTTACCGAGATCACTTGTTTAGTGTCTGTTTGATAATGGGAACATGGATTTTGAACATGCTCGTCAGAAATTGTACCACAGTCAGGAAGATTAATATTCTTGAAGAAAATGATGGTAATATTTAGTCAGCTATGTATATATGTACGAACATTATGATCGGAGAAGGTGAAATTAAGGTTCTTTTAGCATTTGCTAAATCTTGTCTGCTCGGAGAATTTGTTTCTGCATTCGACAATAATATCAACCTAGGGTTAGGGGGGCCATTTTGACTTGAAAAGTAGTCCTTTTCCATCCCAGTGATCGTTATTTAGATGGTGATCTGCACTAGATTCCCCCTGGTTTTTTTTCCGTAACAGACCTATGATTTGCACGCGGAGGATTCCCTTGCAGTAATCGAACGCGTAATTCGTGCACTTCCACCTCCAAACTTTCGGCTTCTGGAATATCTGTGCTATTTTCTTCGACAAGTGACGCAATACCAGAATAAAAACAAAATGAACAGTACGTCTCTGGGCATTGTGTTTGGTCCAAACGTCTTTCGCTGCCCCCGAGATTACGAGGTTTGTTGATTGTACCAAAATATCTAAATTTGACCATTTCTTGTATTGGAAATGAAGATGTTTCGTCTAAAACCTGTTATTAAAATTGCTTTATAGATTGGTAATGATAACAGATAGTCCAACCACTTTTTTTAACAAAAGAATTCGGACACTTTTGGTTAATAGGTACTAATTAAGCCTTGAGTAAATCCCTTTTACAGGCACACCTGCCATTTGCAAAAGAAGCAACTATTAAACCTTTTTTACTGTTACTGTACGGGTTCTCTTGTACCAAAAACCTGAGTTAAGGAATGTGAGGGAGCACAAATTGAAATTTTTGGCGGCAGTGGGCTTTTAATATCTCCATAACAAACATATCTATATATACAATACTTGTCTTGTTTACCCATTATTCCACTGTGGCATTTCCTTTCGGTTTATTTGATCAATATTCGATGGCTCCGTTATCCCCACTCCACTTTGTAGAATCTCCGGCCAAATGAAGCAAGTATGACACATTAGTGACTCACCCGATACCTTTAGAGTACATTTGCAGACTTGCCTTTTTGCTACGAGGAAGACCCCTTTCTCCTTGTTTGCTGTAAGAAATGTAAAATTGTGGTACGGGGTGATGCAGTTAATACATTTATCATCACAGAAAGAGTGAAAATAATATACTTATTTCTTCCTTCATTGACAATACAATTCATATGGTAAAGGACACATACATGGCTGGACCAGTTTGTTGCACATTTGGATTCAGTGTTGATAAGTGCCTTGGTCTTGGCGTCGACAGTTCTGTCATTTTAAATTGGATAGCAACAATTGAAAGCGTTAGTTGCTAATAACATAAGGCTTTGGGTCTCACATTTTTTTATACACGCTTTTAAAGCCCCTTGTTTTGGACACATTAACTTGTCGTTCTGGGCTTCTTATTCGAATACGGAAGCCTGTGAGCAGTAGTATTGCTTCGCCTGTGTATTTAAACAGGTTGTTTCCTTTTTCCTATGTTAATGTCATTATGCCCAATTCTTCATCTTCATATTTTTGATTGTCGACTCAGTCGTACTCAACATTTTACCGAATTACAATTTTTAAACACAGCTTACTTTAACTGCTCCATCTTCGCCGACGGTTTTTCCTATTTGGGAAACTTGTTAGGCTTTCTTGCCAGCTAGATACAAGGGTAACACGTCCTGTTTTATCCCCGTTCATTTCCAGTGAGTCGTTACCAGCAAAAAAGTCGGGTTTACGTTCAAGTAACTATCTGCGGTGGCCTGTACCCGCCAAAGGTCTATGCATTCGGTCCAGAAATTTTACGATTTGACTCTGCGCCAAATCACTTCTAAATGTTGTACTATATCTGAAAGTAGTGGTCGTGTGGTTTGAACACTTAATTCTCGCGGTACTCTGCAGTTAGTGAATTGGTTGTTATTTCCGTGACAGTGTGTTTTTTTTACACCAGATGGGACAAAAATGAATGTAAAACAGAGGTTCATATTTAGTAAATTTTAAAACAAGGCATCAATTCGAGTGAAATAACTCGAGGGTTGTTTTGTGAAGCACTCGCGAATGAGGCACGCTTGAAAACGGCCGTCTATTGCACAAGAGTTTGCCGTAAACTCTTGCGCTGGCAGCACAAGGGCAAACAGCGAAAGCAAAAAAAGCCGAAAAATGTTGTACATGACAAGTTTAAAAAGCTTCGCTACACGAGCCCCTAGGATGTTGTTGTGGGGCAAGCGTTGAGGCAGAGCAGCCACCACCCTCGCGTTTGGGCTGATACGCGATGCGTCAGTGGGATATCACGGGAGAGCGATAATCAACGATGGAAAGTTAGTGTTTTGCAGGTATGCTTCATGCGAAATTTCACGGATAAGTCGCAAAAGCTACACTATAAATGCCGAAATTACATTCCATTCGAAATGGTGCCTCGTGCATGGCGACATCTTTCGACATAAAACCGCTTCCACGACAAATATTTGAAGAAAAAAGTCGCTAATCACCATAATGACTCACTGTCACACTCTCGAATCTATGTTTAATGAAAGCTCGGCAATTGTAAGGCGATGTAGTGTTTAATTCCTCTTGTTCTCCCAATTGGGAATGTTCAGGTTGTCGCTTTTACTTCTTTCTTTCAAGTCTTAAAGTTGAAGTGGCGAAGACTGTCACCGAAGATTTCCGGAGTCGCCGTAAAAACTTTATTCGAAGCAGATCGGAGGTTTTATTGCCGCGTTTCTATAGCTACCTTTGACTTAGCAAAAGGAGGTAAACGTTCTCGTTATCTCGTCTTTCCAATCACAAGTTTTCGGTTTATGTCTCCTTGATTCTGCTTCGGTTTAAATTTCAATCTTCCAAAGGGCCATTATTATTATTGCCTGCCTTATCACTTAGGATTATCTTTTCGGTTTTGTGATTCCGCGAAATAAAGTTCGCGTTTATTTTTAACTTCTTTCGGAATTTTTATGTAGAAATATCACCCTTTTTTCAACTGTAGCAAATCTTTCGATCACTTGCACGATAGCTTGTTTTTTTTTCATGTTATGTAATTTAAACTTAATCTCTCTTCAATTAATGTGTGATTACCCATTTTATAAGTACTCATCGGGTGTCCGAGATTTCCCTAAGTTGAGCGGGTTTTGTGATTGCGCACAACAGGCCACTAATTTTGATTGATTGGTTTTGGCTTTAAAATCATCTGTTTAGTGGAAAAATTAAAATGTATTCAAAATTCAAAAAATCGATTTTCAAACAGCATTTGTGCTTGATAGCAAAGTGGGAACTGTCTACGAAGTACCATTTTAAATCGAACTGCGAGCTATTTCAAAAATGGTTCGATCGTGTTGCCAATCTCATGTAAGACATTAAACTGATTATATTTATCTTCCGTGTGTTTAACGTTACCTTTCCTTCGTGCATGTGTTTTGTATACCAGAGTTTATTTGCCCAGTCCTGGTAGTCTGAGGTGGCGTTTTTGGAAATTTCGGTTTATTTGCCGAGTGAGCGTTTTTTACAGAGCTTCTAAGACCTTTGAAATTATTTATAATCCTCAAAAATTATTATGAATCAGGAAAAAGCAATAAACACCGCCTCCATTTATTCGTCTTCCTCTACTAACCCACTAGGGCCTCAAAAGCCAAAATGTGGTAAACCACATCATGAGCGTCCTGATAGATCGGTCCGATATCGTCTTTGGTCGCAAGTCCCTGAAAACCCCTTCCACTTCTGTCGTCCGCAAGAAGCACGCTGGATCGTCAGTGAAAACTGCCGCCTCATGTCGAGAGGATGCGGTCGCAACAGCCAACAACTACCGTAGGTCCGCAAATAACGGACCACGACACCATCACAGCCATGGCGGCCACTCACCCTACCACGACTCGGCTCATGCCCAGAGGGTTTTTTCTGCAAATGTGTAAGACGTGAATTTTTATAGCAAAACCTGATTGACTGTGCCTTTGCAAATACGTTCTTCGTTGTTACTTTTCACTGGCTACTTTTTGTGAACTTGCCTCAAGACGCAGCCCGTAGAATTTGTGCCAGTTTTGCTTCTCGCGGTCACGGTGCGGGCGTGTTGTACACGCTCACTTTACACTAGTCAGTTAAATATAACGAATTCACGAAGCGAAGTATTCATGGAACGTAGTCATTGAGAGCCTCGGTGACCGAGAATATTTATAAAATCCAACTTTCAACATCTAAAGTCGGTGTAGCAAATCTATTCACACCTTAATTCTTCTGGGAAATGCAAACACATGAGGAATATTGCTCTTACTATTATTCTCATTCTATCGTTTCATACTTGCAATTCGCTAGTTTGTTTCCGACCTCTTAAATGGAAGAGGGGTTTGGCGAGATATTACCTAGCCACACATAAACACCGGCACGTGGATACCTGGATTCTTGCTGTCTAATTCTTCATTTACGCTCAGACTACCACAAACATCAATGCCGCCAACATTACAACCATCGGAATTTATGTGGAAAGGTAGCGCATCGGCATTAGACTTGGTTGAAAACTAACCATCGTGCGTGTAGTGATTCACTGCTGACCGTCCACGTTGGCGCTAAACTCTTAAAAAGGGGCGTTGATTTGCTTGGGTTGTAGGCCTGTCAGCAAAAATGTGTCTCTTGCACTTTTTTCCCTGTACAGGTTGCCTACAATCGTTTTGATGTAATCAAACAACTTATAATTGGGTGTTATATGAATTTCTACCGTGGGTTGGTTAGTTTTCATTAGCTAAGTCATACCTCCTTTCCAGTTTTCCATGCAATCATACGGCCCCTTCATTCGCTCATTATTCCTCATATCAACGTCGCAAAATTTGCCAACTTTCCCGTAACCCAAAATAACTGATGCTTTTAATCATAAATTCAAGCGAATGTCTGGTCATTAATCTCAGTCAAGGCTCTGCAATCGAAGGTGGTCTGTGTTAATGGTCCTATGACTTAATACTAAGTTACTCAACTGTTATTTGGATGTGCACATAATTGACTTTGCTGAATTTACTTACTTCAAACATTAATTCTGCACAATCCGCCTTTGCTATGTGTTACCATCCCCCCCCCCCCACAACGCTTGTCCCTTATCCTAATAAGATAAGTCAAAATACTGTTTCTAAGTCTATTATCCTGTGGATTAACTCATTACCAAGCGGATGGCATTCATCAGCCAATGTATTGATTATCAGCAAGCTCTATTGGCTCCTTTTTAATTACCATCATTGTTAAAACATTGCATTCATCAAGACCTTTAAGCAAATTACCCGTCTTGGCATCATGGACTCATTTGATTACATGCTTACTTAGTGAGATAAAAGCAACAATAACTTTCTCACTTGGTAAAAGATATCCACTATAGGGGCTGTTCTATGTTTTTCCTTATAAATATCTAATCACTTTGTTTAAAATATATTCAGAAAGCTAAGGAATTCGTCGTTTCGGCAAGTCAGCTTCAGTTTTTTTCGACAAACGATTTTATTATTTTACTTTCGAGTATAGGAAAGCCTGCGCGTCTTTTCCTAACTGGGGTGGCACAGATTGGCCTTGATTAACGACACCTAGAGAAGCCATTCCTGTTGAAAAGTTTTGTGCTTCAATGGTGCAAGACGAGCTTAACGGGCGTGTAGCCTGTAGTTACTTTTTGCGTCAATGTGTCAAGATAGGGCAAAAGGAAAAGAGACAACTTTTCTGTCACTTGCAGTTAGAGAATACATGGCTTTGGGTGAGGTAGACGTTTGCACTTTTTTATTAAATGGGCACCAGTTCTAGTAAGTAATCCCCCTGCAGCAGACTGATTTGGGTGTTTGAAAGCGATAGGACTATGTTTGAGTTTAATGTTAGCAACGTGTAGCCGAGATCTTACTTTCGATTAATTTTAAATCACCTCTGAGGTGTTCCTTTAGTTCAAATCAGAGTTATACTTATTTACTTCTATTTCCTCCTCTCTACATCCTGCCTCTATGGAAAAGGTTAGGTAGCGCCGTAATATCTGGGACGATTATGTCTTCGTGAATTTTTTAATTGGAAGGGATACTCTGCATTACAAAAAGTATGACGCTGCTCCTTTGCCCAACATGAACACGTTTCATCGTCAGATAGGGTTAGATTAGTTTCAAATAATTTATTGACATGGACGCTATCGCATGACCTGACCAATTCTGATTCGTTGGCATTTAAATCAAATAAAAGTGCCATTTTGCGGAACGATCTTTCAAATCGCCATCTCTCTTTAGTGAAGCGCAGCACAATGAGCGTGACCGTTTTGCCCTAAGTCCGACGGAAATCCAGAGCCAATCAGCTGTCTTGGAGGTGGCAAGCGGTGTTGCCGAACAACTCTCTGCCACTTTACAGGCCTGTCTCCGAAACTGTGTGCAGCAGCACGCCTTCCCCGCCATGTACCGTCGCAGCCAGTATCCGCGGGCCAACTCAGTGGACCCATCAACTTGCTACCTCAGCGATTTTACCACAGACTTGACTTCTGTACTGCCCTCACTTCGTGTGGTAAGATTTTCGCTCGGTTATTTTAAATAAAGTTGAAATGCTTGCACAGATTATCACTATCCACCTGTGGAAGAAACTATTTGTCTTGTTAATCACCTAAATATCAAGCGGGTCCCCATGATGTTTATCATTTCCAATCGTGTGTTTTGAGTTTTTCGGCTCACTAGCTGACTCGTCTAATGAAAGCATAGTCCAGCAAACATGTTTGGAGTTAAATTGGCCGGTAGTTGGCTTCGACTAAGACCTGTTGTGTGACGTTGTCTCAGTAGCAAGCCAAGCTAACGGAAGGCACTTGGTTAAACGATTGTTCTTTTTCCTTGTGCGATTGACAACAAGGACCTATTCTTCTCTTTTAAGTATCTTGCTAAGTCGATCATATGTATGCTGTTGAGGTTAACGGGTTGCATTGTCTTACAAACACGTGAGCATGGAAGACCAGCGTCTTTTTATTGTGGGGAGTTCCAATCGGTGACCGTGGTTAAGTGTGCTTAAGATTGCCCGTGCCCAGGCTATGGTTATCTAAACTTTACTCGACATCTCCATGCGTTTTGTTACTTATAGCTGTAGGAAAACGTGAAGTTTATCGCCAACAATGCTACTACATTGATCAACTATTCATTTGATGTCTAAGCTATTGAATCTGCAACTACGTATGTATATGATTCCTTGTATTGGCGGGGATTCCGTAGCCACTTATTCCATAATTTTTTAAACTAAATGATGCCTTTAACGGAGACCCAAAAAATAAAGTCAATGAATGTTTTCCGGCTCTCTGAATGGTTATCGTATGGTTTAGTTGAAAGTAGTATTGTGCAATTTCAAAAGCACTCACTGATGGGGTTTCGACCCACAGAATTCTGAAGCAGCACTCAGCTTTCTATTCTTTGTATTTTTATCAGTTTACCAGCTTTAATCTGGTGCCCTTATGAACCCTCACATTGTTTCCATCTTCCAGTTGCTTTGGCACAATTTAGTGAGCTGAATTGACCTCTTAGCTTATTATCTGGATATGACCTCTAAATAATAGCCATTAGCTACCCAATTTCTGGTTTTTATAATTTCCCTAGTATGCGTATGGCCTTTTAATAAAAACATAAGTGAAGTATATTATGAATGCTTCCTTTGTGTGGATTACGAGATGTGGCGATAGTTTGAGAAGTGAAACTGCCGACAAAGTTTGTTTGAGTTGTGTAACGAGGTCTCACCACCTTTAAAAGTAAATGGATTCCACCAGATCTAGAAGTGCCGGTTTTAAATCAATTACCCCATCGACGAAATTCGCGTGATTGTTTCGATCGAGCCATTCACCTGTTTTGCTGTCTCACTCGATTTGATGTGTGATTGCACCACCTGGCCTTCCGTGTGTGTGTGCACGAACAATTTAACGGGTTACAAAGCATTCTCACTCTGGAACTGCAGAAGACGTGCGAACATGAGAGTGACCAGATGCGAATTAATTGGGTTGCGTGTACCACCGTATTGAGGTTGAGGTCTGTATTTTGAGCCAGACATGGATACTCTAGGAAATTCTACAAAATTACTGGCTATTTTTTTCTACTGCAATGAGGTCCACGATTGGTTTACGGTCACATTTAGCGCGTACATTAGATTTGATGGTATTTCACCAAACTCGTGTGCTAACCTAGTTTCATAGCTTTGCTTGTTCCTTTCGTCAGAAATCGCCAACATCCCACCCACGAACTGGGTCTTCGGTGAACTCAAAGTCTCGTTCATCTGTCAGCCGACCCACCAACATTGACGTCCGTCCACGGCAGCGCCATGACTCTTCGTCCCCTCAAATAGCATCACCACCGGTATTCAATGGTGTCACCTGGACGGGCGAGAGTCGGGCGTACCAGAGCTCTCCAAATAACCACATAATCTTCCAGTCCAATGATGTGGACACAATTGATTCTCGAAGATCAAAAACCGTCGGACATGTCATTTCGGGGAGGAAAGTCAGTTTGACAAGGCCACACGAAGCAGGTTTGTAATTGTTTCCCCTTTCGCAGCGCATCTGGATACCCATTAGTTCTTTGGGTGTATATGGGTCATAGATTTATAAAACTTTTCCTAATTTCGACATCCGGTTATCATTGTGCTATCGCAATTTTTATAAGCATTTTCTAGTTGAGGACTGCATTGGTGTGTCTTTAAATGCATGACTTGCACCCATGTGCGGTTACTTCACAGCGTCCGAACCATCGAAATTTTGTTTGGATCCTCTTTGGGTATTTTTTTTGTTCTCTATAAACTGTTCCCCAGTAACAATGCTCAGGCGGGTTCGCATAGCTCACTTGTTTTACATTATTTTGATTTGCATCGGGCAGGGTCTTGCCTTGATTCTCAGAAGCCCACAAGGTTAAGTTATTGCTTTGAGCTTGTTGTTTCTGGACTCACATTCTTTCCCAACCATCAATGCAGTTCAGATGACAACGAACTTTAACAGTGAAGGTAATTGATACCTTTCAAACCGAAATTAAATGGTTCTAGTTCTTCCCTACCAAAGAGCACCTAAGGAATTCTGTAATTTATGATGACTTTCCGAAGTTATTAATCGTATTCTTCTCTGTTGGTATACACGCTTTTGAGCGATTCAGATGGGAAAATCGACCATAGTGTGTGCCCTTTCGTCCTAATGCTCTGATAATCAAAGGACTACGGCTTTAAGGCCAAACAGTAACTGTCAAATTTACTTTTGATCCGCAGATGGACAAAAACCCCTTTAATTTGAATTAATTTGCCCAACATTTAATAATAAAATTTGTGCTATTAATGTGGCTATTTACGTTAAAATATATCAAAACGTTGCTATTTCAGCCTTCTGTCACTGGTTAATATGTTTAAGTAGGTAGTTGGACTGATTATAACTAGTAGAAGCGATCTCAAATTTATCCAACTTATCACTATACGCATATTTTTTGTGATTCCAAGCACAATGAGTCATTTTGCTACTTTTTGACAATTGTGAGTCGTGTTGAAGAAAATCTACAGCTTATCAATGCATTTACTATGATTTGCATTGTCATTCAGTTTTTGATTATACTTGCATTGCATCATCATGCACCTGATCCCCTTTTTACTCGATGTTGACCGACGACAGTTGTCGGCGTGGTTTTTAAGTAATCTTTTAGTCAAACCATCTTATGATCCGGTTTTAAATTATTGATCAAAACGCTAAATGCTTTTAAATATTTAAAATGTGTCCTGTTATTTATATTGATAAAATGATGTGAAGCAATATAAACCTCCATCGTCGTATATTCTTTGATTTTGATTATCAAATCTCCTGATTTACCCACTAAATGCGTTTATGGATGCCATGGCGTATTTGTTATCTTCATAATTTAAACTTTACTGTTTCATATGCCAGTCTGAGAATCGGTTCCTTCAGTTATGCGACTATTGGAGTTGCAGGTCGCCACCAAAATGAGGCACAACCCGTCACTTTAAAATACGTGGCACCTGCGTTTAGCGTTTCAAGGATTTTGAAATCGTCCACGTGGGGATTCCCTTTACCCGTCCTTTTAAAACTACCCACTAGATATAAATCCGGACCGCTTAACTTCCTACGTGACGCGCTTGACTTTATCATTCCCTCTTGCCATGGCAACACGCTTTCAAACCCACACACGTGTTTCACTGCCTGCCAGACAATAAAGGAAACGAGGTGATCGCGATGCTTTCGCATTGTTCGGGCTTTCTGTAAACCCCGGTATCGATACCATTGTTCCATTCGTTAAGGCACGACTCGAGACATAAAAACGGGCAAGGACACAAGGGTGGGTGCGCCTTACTAAATCACAAATGTGCTGGGTGCGCCAGTAAATAATTCATTGTTTCAATAAATGAGTGGGCATGTCATGAATTGCGATTTGCTTCATTTTTAAGCCCTAGAGGCACTTGGTATCCCCATAGATAAGTGAGTAATACGTTTTTGGAGATGGGAATGTTTAGAGTGTTGTAGTGTGTTAGAGGACTTGAACCCACATACAGGCTACCGAATTTTAAACTCTAGTTGCGACATGCAGGCCTGAGACGTTAGATACTCCGCCGTTTATTAAACCGCCCAAACAAAGTGTGTTAGTGCTCAAGATTACGATTGCTTATGGATCGTAGACATACACGAGAGGAACAGTGTCTGTTTGTGGCTTTAGTCCGATGACAGATAAGTATGTGGTCAAGTGATTACTCAGTTGTTGGCAAAACATGCAGGAAAACTATAACCTGAACAGGTGTAGTCGTGAATTAAGATTACTAATGACAGCTGTATCACCTTAAGATTCTGGTCTTGAAAGTCCTAAGACCTTTTTTGTCAAATTGAAGGATTTACTATTGTATAGCGAATTAAATAAGGGCTTTTGTTGTATTCCATGGAGGTTTGAACACTCCCAATTGTTGGAAAACATAACGTGCCAAACATATCTCACCAATGAACTTATTCTCACTAATTACTTTTTGGTGTTCAGCTCTCTTCGAAATTCCTGTAATTTTCAGAAATAGCACTTTATATTCACTTTTCTAAATTAGGTGGTATATAGCTACTGAAAACTTTTGGGAACATACCGTCATTTTGTCTTACAAAAAGGTAAAAAAATATGCGTCAGAGGTAAAATGGTAAGATAAATTTGCGGCTGGACGACGTTCAAAGCAGAGACAAAACCCAGGATGATTTCCGGCACAACTGTAGCATATCATAGCTCATAGCGTATTTTGTTGTCCTGTTAGTTATCCTCTCGCCTTCTCAGTCTGACGCTTCTGGCATTTATTTTGCCTCAGGCGGGAGGATGACGGATGGACCTGTTGACGCGATTGAAAGGCCTCAGCGGCCGCCCTCCTCGTCTTGCCCCTCCTCCACACAGACCACCGTCCCCTTGAAACGGAGTGGACTCCAGGACGGTGACACTCTTCTACAACCCTCGACTGCTGAGTCCCCGAAAATTGACCCCATACTCGGCGCATACCATGAAATTCTGCAGAGGCTAGCAGCGAAGCGTCGGGCTGCGAACCGACCTGATGAGTTGCTTGACATGACACTTGAAGAGGTTAGTGCTGGTCCGCCTGAGCAACATGCTTGTATCTCAAAAATCTTAGTTTCTCTGTAAGCAGATTTGTTTACGTTTTAAATCGATTTATCCTATTTTGCGAGGTGGTTTTGTTGCTGTAACGATTCAAGCCTGCGTACCTGTTTTGTGGTTTCCGACATGGATATGTCTGTTTCACCTCGCCGGTCTCCCACTGTGTGCTGTTATCTCACACTAGTAGTTGTCGGTGCGTAGAAAGCTGAAATACAATCTATTTTGAGCTCTTACTAAAGTAAATTTCCTTTTGCAGAATTTCGACATAGTAAAATTATATGGTATTTAGCGGGTGTCTGTTGGCTTTCTTTCAACGCTTATCTTGGTGCAATCCTGTGAATCGGACAGCAGATCTTTGGGATGATGCAACCATGCTTTTTCTAGGTGTCGCATTTCTATTTTGCCTGCTCTATGGAATGTATTTGGTAGCCTGCTCTTGACCATTCAGCCTAACCGAGTTTTGACTTGCATTTTTGACTCCTGTGAGTGATGGCAACTTTCGTTGCATGGCAGCGAATGTCTCAAATGACCCGAATTCAATTCGATTTTTGACCCATTTTCTTCACCTTTTTCAAATAATGGTTGAGGTCTGGATTGTTGTTTTAGTCCTTATAGCAAAACCAACTTGCTGCATTTGTAAGTTTATGCCGTCTTACTACCGCATGCATCTTAATTTTTTCACTTAACACATTATTTTCTATAATGACGAGTTAGCTGAAATGAACACTCTAGTCACCTATGATATTTCTGGTTTGTCGCTGAATATGAACGGACCTTTTTAATACGTGTATTGGAGTTGTTTGTGTCGACTTTTGGGGACGTTTGAACAACCGAGAGGCCTAGTCCTAATTAGTGCGTGCAATCATAGTCCACGGCGGTCTTGGTTTACAATCCACCTTTCTTCCAACTACAGCTGGAGGAAGAAAAATCGGTTATACAACGCACCCTGCTCTCCTTCGAGAAAACCTACGGCCGCCCCCGTGAACGCCATGAACGTGTGATAATGCGTCCAGTGTACGATCGCTATCGCTCTGTCAAACGCCTTCTTGCCAGTGCTGGCAACCATCGGTGTACCAGCCCCAACACTCCTGCACGCGCCTTTGTTTCCAACGGCCAGGATAACGGCACAGGCGACCTCTCTGATGAGCCCGAGCCGTTGTTACTAGGGCCTCCATCCACCACCACAGCCGGCTCGGGTTGTGCCGAAACAGTTGGCTTCGTCTCTCCCAAAACTAATTCTATTCACTCTGATAAATCGACTTCAGCACAGCATGCAAATCTCATACGGACACGTGAAGGGGGCTTCGTGGTACCGGAACACCGAGTTTCGTCTGTTGAAGCTCATGCTTATCCCCGAGCCCAAGCTACAAGTACAAATCGGTGCACAAGCCTCATGCTATCGATAAGCTCGCAGGCACCTGATGAGTGGTGTAAGTGATTTAGTTTGTGTTGCGTTTCTGTTGCTCGTGATTCTTATTACAACGGTGAGGTATGGTTATTATAACCACTACGTAACATCAGAACTTTGAGATGTTAGTCATAGCTATCACACAGACTCTATAAAACGATCAATCGCGATAATGTATTGCTTTCAATTGACGTTTCAGCCAGGGGGGAATATTTGCAAGTGATATCTCCTGAGCAAATCACCAAGTTCCCATACGGGAACCATTCCAGACCAAACAATGGGCCTCTTTTTCGTACAGATAATGCTGGCTTTCCACTTTTACTCAATCACAGTTCGAGTCTTTTTACGCAGTGATTTTTTTTCTATTTCAATTGAACTTCAATGAACCGCATAGATATTTAGCGACTCACTTCAGCATGCACTGTTTGGTACTTTGTGGTACCTTTTGGTGCAGCTTCTACTTTAAAATTTTAAAGCTTTGCATCGGTGAATTTGCAATCTTTAATTTTGCTTTTACCGAGCTTTCGTAAGCACCAAGACTTAATATGTTGTCTTGAAAACCACCGTGCCGAAACGCCTGCACGGTTGTTGATGACTGTTTGCTCATGCTTTTTTTCTAAACGCTCTCTGGATGACGTTGTCTGTAGGTTTCCACACTTTTTTTAGTTTTTTGGGCAAATTTGGATTTGTTTAAATGGTCGTGACATCGATTCATGTTTTTTTCACTCTAAGTGCTTAGGCAAGCTTTGAATTTATTTTGTTCCATCTCAAAAGTCATGCTGAACTCTTCATTCAATTTCAAACAAGTTGATCGACCATCTAATTTTGATACTAATAAATAGCGCTTCCTCACTGATTGGTATGGAAGGTTTAGGCAGATTTCAGTAATTTTAAGCATCTTAAAAACCTAGGGGCCTTAGGTCGACTGTTACTTTCCCTCAACCACCCCTACTATTGTTTCACTTCCGTCATTTGTTGTTTTTTTGCCCATAACTAGGATACCAGTAGGTCAGTGTGCCGTGTTTACACGTGACTAGTTGCATAAAGAGGGACTTTTAATTTCACGCACGATTTTCCCTTATCAAGTAGCTTAATTTCTACACTGCGTTCACCACGCATGCTGTTCGCCCCCAGTTCCTTTCTCCAACTACAGAAGGCCTGCCTTCTTTTTGCCTGCGCTATTGGCAGTCATCAGATAAGGTCAAGGTCGCGCAATAGATACCATTTTCTGTGTGTCTATTTTCGACTTGCGGTAAACAGCCGCTACTGAGTGGGCAGTCATGTCGCTTCATGCGAAAAACGTTTCTATGTGTAACTGATCAGGTGCTACTCTTTCCGGCTCGTAGTAAGCGCACGTGTAGACTGGTAATTAGCAAACTGATTTTAGTGACCTATATTGTCAAAATTAACCTGCAGTTGACACTAAAATGCCTTTTTAAGAGTGTAGTCGTGATTTTTTAGGTAATTTTAAACCAATGTTACTGTGTGGCAACGCCATCGCATGCAGTAACTTCAAACATCTCCGCAGCTTGGTGGATGGTGTGTGTGCACTTTTTAGAAATTTTATTCTTACATTACTATTATTAATATTATTGTTATAGTGCTCGGCTATATTTTGCCCAGCATGTGATTTTGTTGATCCCGACCACGTTCTCCTTTGACCACAAATTTATTGTAGGTTCCAGAACATTTTTCACGATTCAAATTTTGTATTCAAAATGTATCCTCATTTCTTATTATTTTGAAATCTAAGAGGGGACATAAGTGAAATAGCGACTAGGGCAGCCGAATGTTTCATCGTCTTATAACACAGATTGTTTTTTCGATTTTGTGTATTATTGTTTAACTTCGTTTTATGGTATGATTTCGCGAAGGTATGATAACAGCCAGATTTTAGAGCTAGTTTTTCATAAATTAGGCCACAAATTTCGTTCTAATTCAACTTGACTCAGAACTTAGTTTCGACGCGAAATCAATTTTTACCGTTTTTATTTCACTAAAACGCCTTTCGTTGCTTTATGGCTTCGGCGTTGAATCGGTAGGCATTCATTTATGACTAAGTTCAGCATTTGGAATTCATCGTCCATGCGTAAATGTTGACCCATCCTGTTAATAGTGCGAGGTCAAGTCTAGTGGGTTATAAATTTGTCTTCCGTAAATTCGTTTGTTTGTGGGTGCTTAAAATGGCCAATGTTTCAAGGTCAAGGGTAAAAAGGATGGTCAGCTTTCGTAGTAGTGAGGCAGTGTTTGAGTTGATGGAAATGCCTTTAATGTTTGTTTACGTGTTAACTGAATCACTGGAGAATTGTGAAACCGTTTGCCATTGTAAATAATAATAAAAGGGTTTTGATGTTAATTCCCCGTAACAATGTCCGTTTTTTGCATTCTGGGTTGAGAGTGAAAGTTTTTACAGCTGAAACATGGAGCCATGCTTCACCTTTTTAGTCTTCACCAGCCAACTTGGCACAGGCATTGATAAGGTTTTCTAAGTAAAGCGTTTTTGTTTACACCATGCCCAATCAATCGACAAAAGATAACTTAATAACTGAGCTCTCGTGGACATCCGGCCATGATCACTTGACTTTCGTTTTGAATGTCAATTTTAGTTGGTTCACTCGGCGTATCAGCGCGGCCATCTTATTGCTTGAGTTCGCCTCAGCGCTACCTCGAGACCGAGGAGATGGCTGCTGAGCAGTTTGTAGAGGAAGTGACATCTGTTCAAGGAGATTTAGTAGCAAGCGAGGAGGGGAATCGGACTCCGGTCTACCAGACTCCCTCGCCGCCCCAGCGCAAGCCCCGCCGTAAAGCTGAGTTACCTGTTTGGGTTGCGCCCTCGGAGGCGAGTGGCCAGGGCAAATCACCCGCGCATCTGCCGCGCAAGTCGCTGATTATCTCAACAGACCCCTGTCATCAGCAGCAGCAGCACAATCGAGTGCTTAGTGGAGATGATTCAGAGTTAGTAACCCCTCCCCCTCCCCGAATTTTTTGTTTTGGCTAAAGGTATCAAGGTGATCGAACCTTTTCCATTCATTCATTTCTCTAACGCGCACTTCTGGTTCGGCTCTTGCTAAGCTAGGCTTTAAGATACCAACTCAGTAGCACGAAAGATTTTCTTAATTCCAATAAATCAGTAATGTTCATTTACAACAAGAGTCCACAAATGGTCTTTTTACAGTGTATTCACTACTTAGACTTACCTGAAGCCTATTAGAAGCGATTTTTGTATTCAAGGTATTATCAAACTAGTATTTTTCTTCTGATTGTAAGAATCACATTCAATGCCACCCAGTTTTAAACATATATTGGACAACTAACATTCTAATCATATTTTTATTTCAGAGATTAAGTAAACCAGCTAGGCTAATTAATAAGTCTTTAATTTAGGTGAATTTATTTCACGAAAATGTGCTTTAGGGGATGAAAGAACTATCTTCTTTCCCACCATTGCTATTTCGGTTAGATGTTTTCTGGCATAATCCTTCCCCTTTTTATAATCGGCAAAAATTGCTGCGCGCTTCTGTCTTGTTCTCTCCGTGATGATAGATGGAAAGGCGCTGAGGACAGGAGAGATGAAGCCTTGTTGTGCCATTCTTTATCCATCACTATTTTCTGGCAGCTTTTTTTATGTCGACGCAACCTGAAGTTGTGTTCGTAGTTCTTGTTCTAGGCGATATCCAGACGCAATTTGATAGCAAAAATGACTTCAGTCCACTGGAACGATCGACTGCGCCCTCTACGCTTAAGCCTAAACCCAACAGCTACACTAAACAAGCCAGAGTACATATTTAGGCGGCATCGGTGTTACGTTTGTTTACTCGACACCGACGACGCATGCCCCACCAAACTCAAACTGAACTTGCGAATAACGTTTCCTTTGGTTTGTGCTCATTTCAAGGCTTCATGTCTTGCTTTACACATTGACTCCTTAAGTCTCGGAAAGTGGAACATCCGAGGAGCAATAAGAAAGTATTTAGGCTATGAGGCGTGTACATTAAACGCCTTACGGTGTGATCATGTTGCACAGACATTAGGAATCTTGATGAGTGAACTGAACAGGGGAGGGGGTTTATGCGGTGGCAGTCTCTGGCTTTTTTGGTCCGGCAGGAAACTCAAATTAGAGGGCACCAAATTTAATGGGCTTGAATGTGGTAAACGTGGGCGTAAAAGTAAAAATTATTTCAACCACCAATTCCCAAGTCCGTGAGGCCGTAAAAAGCATTTTTACCATAATGTAACAATTAGTCTTGTCATTAAAAGTGTTTGCTGTTCTAATCCGTGTTTTTTTCTTGTTTTAGGGATCACTCCATTTCAGATTATATCTCGAGGTACTCAACCTTCACAGTATCTCAGCTTCAGGCGGAGCTTAAATTCGTTAAGGAATCGAAGAAATCGCTGCAGAAGTATCTTAAGGAATTTGAACATGAATTTCTGCGAAATCATGGTAAGTTGAACTAGTCATTGAGTTTTTCATTTTAGGCCACTAGTCTGCCTATTTCTTTAAATCCGTGACAATGACTTTTGACTACTTTTAAGGACCTTCGTTACAATGATTGGTTATTGTAACTTCGCAGGTTCTAATAGCACCTCAACAAGTTTCATGTGTTGTCCTGCGTAAAATAAAATCAACTTTTGTTCGTTAGACAATCACCATATTTTTTTCATTTCCTATAAAGGGCATTTGTGTGGTCAGCACAATAATTTTTCAGTTTATTGCCCTTATTTAAAAAGAAAATAAGATGCATTTTTAAATGGGTTTAAATGTATCAAGAAACATTTTACAATGTACTAACGTTCAAATTACTCACGTCCACATACTTACGACTGTTTTTGGCATATTAAAGGGCAGAATACTTTGCCTTCTTTTAGACTCCCTCACTAATTTTGTTTTGCAATTTATATCTCACATATGCCCATCATTAATTTTTTAGGTCGAAAGGTGGATACGATTGGTCGCGAGCCGTTATATTCTGAATACCATAAGTACAAAATGCTGAAAGTTCGCCTCACCTGTCTAGAGCGTCTAATTGAGGCAAGGTCGGGAAAACGATAAAAGCCTTTGGAATTTTCGGCATTTACTCCTTCGTTTTGATCTTAGCTTTGACTTTGTACAGCTGCAGACTTTATTCAAGGACGCCCCCTTACGGCCCTCATTGTTTGTTCTCGAATCCACCGCAAGTGCTTTTTCTTTCTTGCCGTTAGGGGAATTGTAGAAATTTATAAATATGCATGATTTTTTGACGTGTCTAGCCCATTGTCAGCTGATTAAAGGACAAATGCGGTTAGACTACTGATTTACCCGTACTCAAATGCCTACCAACCAATTCACACCGCTCTTATGCATTCGATTCATTTTGATTTTAATATGCGCCCGTGATCGTCATTTCCTTCCTTAATGATCATCACTTCTGCATGACCACGGAACGCATAAGATCTTGATTTTATCAACTTATGCGCATGCCCATGTATACACTAATCCAGATTTGTATGATTAACCTGTAAACCGACTTCTACAATTTTCATCGGTGGTTGCAGTGAAATTGGGGTAGTTTTGGAAACCTTACAACGTTTTTGCGATGTTGCGAGCATAGGAGTCCATATAACCTACCACCAGTTATCCCACGGGTCATTTTTTTATTTTCATGATTCACAATACATTTTAGATGCTGTTAAATATAGGATTTAAGTACACCACCTTTAATTCGACAGTAATTAGATTGAAATTTTAACTTAAGGAAACGTATAAATGTTAAGAACAAGTTAGTGGAAGGTTCTGCTTTAGCGCACATGAGTAGTGGGCGATGTGGAATTTCTTTGTGATGTTGCCTTTGTGGTAGCCCTGCAGAAATCGAGATAGTAGAAATCAAATTACTGTCGTTAGGTCAAAACACATGTTTGTGATTTTTGTATTTCTACGGTCTGGGATGGTGTGTGCTTTGCACTGAATAATATTTCAGGCGTCTTCTGCGTTCATTACCATAGAAAAGTACAAGCAGGGTACTTTATTCATGCTACCCTTGAAGCAGTCAGTCGATGAAAGAAAAAAGAACAAATTAAGCCACAAAATGGTAATTTAGTGGGAACCGCATTCATTCATACAGTTCAGAAGAATTAGGAAAAATTTGCTAATATAAAATATTAAGTACTAACAGAACTGTCATTAACCTGGTCATATTTTAGAAAATTAAGGTTGGCTAGCAAATATAGGAAGGCCTCGCTACATGTGTATCAATGGGTTAAGTCCAGGTCCTGTTAAATTTCAGTCTTGAATTTACAATTCCCTAAAATAGGCTTCTCTTTAGACCGCTACATTTAGTATCCATATGCAAGTATAAAACTAAACAACCAACAGGAAATTTGAATTTTATACCTGCCACGTTGACAACGCGAGTAGAGTTATAAATTACTAAGAGGAAAATTTCAACAATCAAAGCTCTCGAATTGTTAACACGAGCCCAAAACGGTGTAGATGCCTTAATAATATTTCTTATCAACTGAATTAATTTGCCTAAATTGGTGTAAATTAGCTATGAATATGCTTTATTTTGAAAGAAAAGCCCGAGATGTTATAACACCCTACGTTGTTTTTCAAGGCCAATAGCGAAGGGATTTTTTGCCTATTTGACTGCAGCTGTCAAATGTGGGATATCCGAGTCCTTGTAGCGACATACGGGTTCACAAGCATATTTGACTATTTTAGACTCAGCTAATCCTCTGTCTCTTTATTTGAATGGCATGGGAGGAAGTTATCAGCCAGCTAGAAACAGACATGTATGAGGAGCAGTATATAGTGAGCGGCGTAGCCTGCGTTGTGGACTAGGATGGATGGTGTGTAACGTGTGGTTCTGGCTTGCGATTGGTTAATAAAGCCTGTTTTGTTGCACCAGTCCTCATTACTAGAGCTAAGGTATTCTATACCCTGGAATGTAGAAGACAGGTACATTTGAACGGCCTTTATTGACCAATACCAAGCCAAAACGACCGTTAGGCGCTGTTCATTCGAGTCATTTGTGCTGGCTGAGACGCTACTTATATACTGCTATTACATGTCCCTGTCTCAGATTCTGGCTTGGATGATTGACAAAATATCAAGTTTGACACTCACAAGCTATTGTAGACTTGCAGGAAGGCCGCTTCATCCATCGTTGGTTCGTACTCCACTAGCAGTCCTACTGTCTTCTACTGTCCATGTCACCATCGCTGAGTTGCCAATGCCTCTTCAGATGCAGTAGTCCTAATCCCGATCATTGTCAATGAATCAAGTGTATTGGAATCAGATGAAACGCCATGAAAAGTTGAGCTGGCATTTAGTGTTTTCGCCTCCGTTGTCCATTGTAGGAAAAGAGTTGGGGTTCGATTTGCGTTATTCAAACGCATCCGCTGACACCAGTGTAAAATACCCGAACCCTGGTGTGAGGAATACTGGTACAACGGAACAGGCATTATTGACCAATCACAAGTCAGAACCACATATCAGGCGCCTTCCATCCGAGTCCACCATGCTGGCCATGCCGCTCAATATATACTGCTTCTCAATCCTGTCCTTCTCCGGTTAACTGCCTTCCTTTCCCGCATGCCATTGGATCGCAGAGAGACACGGGATTGACTGAGGCCAGGTGGTCCAACATGTCTGCGCCCTAATCCGACGCCACTGTAGAATACCCGAGCCCTAATAGGAAGAAGACGGGTGCAACAAAACAGGCTTTATTGACCAATCAGAAGCCAGAGCCACGCGTCAGGCGCCTTCCATCCGAGTCCACCACGATGGCCACGCCGCTCATTATATACTGCACCTCAGTCGTGTCCTTCTCTGGTTGGCTGCCTTCCTTTCCCGCATGCCATTGGATCGCAGAGAGACACGGGATTGGCTGAGGCCAGGTGCCCCAACATGTCTGCGCCCTAATCCGACGCCACACCACACCACAAAATGTCATCGCGAGTAATCGTTTACGGTGGTAATGGCGCCTTAGGTTCTGCTTGTGTTTCATTTTTTAAGAATAAAGGACTTGTAAACCGCATATTTTTTTGTAATTATATATTTCCTAGTGGGTCTGCTCAATTGGCTCTCAAAAAAATTCTGAGGCAGATGCCAACGTAATTTTAACTAACCGTGAAGTCCTGGAGGAACAACACAGGGAAGTCCAGGAAGGTGTAAAAAATGTGTTGGATGGAGTCCCTGTCGATGGGATTTTTTGTACTGCTGGTGGTTGGGCCGGTGGTAAATGCACTGCAAAAGGTTTGTATTAGCCTGTTACTAGGTTTTTTTATTTCGTAATGCTGCATTTGTTCCCTTAAAATTTGTTTATTTAGCTGTCAGTTAGAATCTTTCCGAAATTATATATTCTGTTAATACCCACAAGAGATTGTTTGATGACAATGACTTTTGACTCGTCTCCTTAACGATTTTATAATTCCCGTCCCTTCTCCTTCCCTGAGTTACTCTTATTTTATTTGAGACACAACTTAATGTATTCATCAATGGTAACCCTTAAAGGCATAAAGACTCAGCTATAAGCCTAGTTCCTTCTCAGCCGTTGTTGACTGGGTTGTCTAATTTATATTAATCCCCGGAAAACCAAATGATCCTCTTTGATCTATTTGTGGCTATGCTTGTTCATTTGAGTATTATTATGTAGGTTTTGTTAGAAGTGTTGATTCGGTTGTGAAGCAAAGTATATGGCCGTCTACAATCGCTGCTTCTCTCTGTCCTAATTACCTTCGGCCTGGTGGCTCTCTCATCCTTTCAGGATGGCTGTCAGCTTTACACAGTACTCCAGGTAACCACCCGCGAAATTTTACCATGAAATAATGTTTCTTTTTACATAGAACCATAGCAAGTACACTGAACGTTCCAAAAACAGTAACCCATATTCTTTTATTTAAACTTTTGTTGGAACCACATTTCTAGAAACTCAAGTACTTCATTGATCAACATTTTTGGGTTTTTGAAAGGCGCAGGCATCTTGGAGTCTACTTGAAATTTTTTTAGGCATGATTGGATACGGCTTAGCCAAGGCTGCAGTTCATCACATGACCTCGAGCCTTGCAGATGCCGATAGTGGAATGCCTCCCAACAGTTTTGTTGCTGCCATTCTTCCGTAAGTATACGTTTAGACATGTGGCGATACGTTTTTGAAGTCCATCTGTGTATATCAAGTAAGGAGCCGACAACATTACCATTTTACAATATCGGCCTCTGCGATCAGCTACAAGTACACAATCTCGATTTCAGGAACATCTTGGACACGCCAAGGAATCGCAAATGGATGCCAAACGCCGACCAGTCTACGTGGACTCCACTGGAACATGTTGCAGAGTAAGCAAATTGTTCCCTGAGTTATTGTTAAGCTTTTAAATGGCTCTCATTGATCTAAGAATTTTTCAGGCTTTTTTTTGACTGGCTTCTGGGAAAAGGACGTCCAAAATCGGGCAGTCTTGTAAAACTTGTAACGGAGGGTGGAAAAACAGAAAGCATCGTTGTAAACACGCCTTAATCCGTCGGATGGTCGACGATTACAACTCAGGGAAATTTTTATTAATCCGTCTTTTTCGTGTAATCAAATTATGCGTGTTTTCGTTTTGACAAGTAAATATGACATAATTTCAATTGTTTTACTGAGTTTTCTTTTTGTTGCTTTGGTTCTCAGGTTGATGCTATTTAAGGCATTGTGGTTATACCCGTCGCACTTATTTAAAATCCAAATTTTAGGCAAAATTGCCATTGATATTATGTTAATGAAAAGAACTTTGTCCTGTGCAAAGTAAATTATTTCATGTCATAGCGTTTAGGTGAGTGCAATCTCTCTTGTATGCGTGTGTGCGGCTCCTCGGATCAAGGTGCACGTACTTAAAAAGAATCAAAAATGACCTTTTTGATGCTTGTCGGTTTGTGGATTGAATAGTGCAGAAATTTCCTAGTAAACATTAGCAACAACCTCATATCGAACCAGGAAGATGTGTAGCTGCTGCATAGTCCACAAGTGGAAGGGAGATAATAGACTTCAAATTTACCAACAACTACAATGCCACGTTGTCATTCTGGAGCTGCATTGAGCCATGCTCTTACCGGTGGCTGATTAAATGTTTCCTATATCTCTTGATACTATTTATCAGCACACCAAACGAATCCGAGTTGAAACAAGTTAAAGAAATACCTAAACACCGACTAGAGGTGCTCAGACGAGACAATTCTTTTTAGATCTTACAAATCAAGACTAAACTGAAAGTTGTAAATAAATAACACGGCATTTTAAAAAGGCACTGAAAAAACGTTGGACCTGTAAGATCCAAACTAGGAGGTTGGGGTATCAATATATAAATACGAAATTTTTCACGTTATTCTAGACTGCCACCTTGTTCTCTGCTCGTGGTTTTCGTATAGCGTCATCTTGAATTTTCTCATTACTAAGTTAGAAAAAAAGCGAAAATTAGACAAACATCTAAAATACATGCTGATGCATAACAAATGATAATTTAATATTGGATTCTAGGGTAAAATATGCCTGTATATATAATGTCCACGCATGATGCCGACAACGCATTTTTAATTTTGCATTAGGTATATGGTATCGATTTCGTTACGGGCACTATTTTGCGCACATTTCCAATCACAAATCCGGTTTATTTTTCGGCTTACTTTGGTTGCTAGGTTTAAGTGATTCTACATCAGTCTACGGTGCTGTGCAACGCGCGAGCGGGGATTCGACCTAAGGGAAGAGATGGACTGCTTGTGTGTCAGCACGAGAGGCCTGGTCCAAGCAAACCCACGGAGTATGACATGGGACGAAGGCAGGAAACTTATTGAAAAATGCATTCGGAGAACGATTACAATGTGAACAGAGGGAAAAGAAGGTCCAACCTGACGACAGAATTCGAGAGACACGCTAAGATCCATAAGCTAACTATTGGACAGGCCTAAAAGGGCAAAAATAATGAAAGGAGTTACCAGGCATGATTAGTGTTCGATGGCATGGAGGGTGGCGTGTGTGACAGAGCTCCCCTGTTCGGAAGAGCACTGCCCTCAGTGCTGTTGAGGTGATGGGGTGTTGTGTAGAATCTCGACTGCGTGGTAGACTGGAGTGTCTGCCTCCGGTATCAGATCTTTTGTCCGGATTTAAGGCGACTAAAGTTTACTGTAAGAGGAAGGGCGAATGGATCAGAGACGGGGTGAATGCGGTAGGTGTTGATAGCGAGTGATTGGACGACCACGAATGGGCCTGAGTAGGGTTTGTCTAGTTTCGTGTAGTCGCCGCGGTTAAGGTAGGGTTGGTGAAGCCAGACTTGATCTTCTAGTTGATAGGGAGCTCTTCGTAAGCCGTGAGATCGAAGATGCGTTTTTGGTGCTCTTAGCTGGAGTTTAGGTGTTGTCGAGCGAGGACGGTAGTGATGCGGTGAATACCTACAAGTTGTGTGCCATGTTCGCTGGGAATAAATGGTGTCGGGTATCTGGATCGGAAATGTAAGTCGAAGGGGGGTTTGGAATTCGCGACCGAACGTCAAGGGAGCAGGGTGAAACCGGTAGACTGGTGGACTGTGCATATGTTGGCGAGCAGGCAATGTGGAATGAGCTGGTCCCAGATATCATTGTTGGCTGTGGAAATGAAGGCGCGCAGGAGAGATCCATTAGTCCTTCCCGACTCTGGAAGTTGGATCCCTGATCGGAATTGTTGGAGTCAGGAAGCCCATAGCGAAAGATTTAGTAAGACATGACGCACCGGCGATGGTGGGAGCCTCTTCGTTGGGAAGGGGAGCCGCTTCCACCCATTTGGAAAAGAAGTCGACCATGACCAGGAGGTACCTGACGTGATTATGGGAATGGGCCTATAATGTTGATACCTACTCTTTGGTTGGCGTAGCCCAAGGTAATTGGTTGAAGCGGGGCCGTGGGACGGTGATTGGGGTCCTTTAGTGGAAAGTAGGTGGAACACGAGAAACAGATAAGACGAACTTCACATCTTAAATCCGGTGGCCAGAAGCGTTGGCGAGCTGCCTTGTCTTGTTTGCCTTGTCCGGGGTGGCCCGATTAATCATGAATGTCTGTGAAAATAGCGCGTCTCACTGATTGAGGAACCATTAGGCGTATGGGGGAGTTGGGGTCGTATTTTAAATAAAGGACGTTGTCGCGGAGGGTTGCTCCAGAAGGACCCCAGTGAGTGGACGCCTTGGTTTTGGCTGCTCATTTCTTTGGTTGAAGGTTTGCGTTGACCGTGAAGTTGTCTGTCATAAATTAAGGCCGTATTTGGATCCTTGCTTGTAGTTTCACCCAATTTGTAGTGTTGGAGTGGACTGTGATGATGTTGACTTCGCATAGACCGACTGGGGTGTTGGGAATCGAGAAAGGGCGTCTGAGTTCCCATGTTTCTTTCCTGAAGAAATTCCACTTGGAAGTCGAATTCGGCTAGAGCCTTTCCTTACCGGGCTAGTTGATCCTCAGGCTCTTTAAAAGTCTATGACCATATGAGAGCCTGATGATCGGATCGAATCACAAAGGGCTTTCCTTTCAGGTACACGGCAAACGGCAACAATCGCCAAAAGTTTACGTCTAGTGGTGTTGTAGTTGCTTTCAGTCTTATCTAAGGTCCTACTCGCGTATGCGATGACGTGTTCTGCGCCATCGGTTCCGCGTTTGGGTAAGACTGCACCTATGGCGTGGATGCTAGCGTCGATGTCCAGGATGAATGGTGGTTCCTTAGGGTCTGGATTCGAAGAAATCAAGATGGGGGTCACTGTTAGTGCTTGTTTAAGTTGTGGGAAGGACTCTATGTATTCCGACGACCGGTCGAAGGACCTGCCTTTCTCTGTAAGTCGTTGTAGGGGAAATGAGATCCGGCTGTAGGCAGAAATGAAGGCGCGGTAGCAGCCGGTCAGGCTTAAGAACGACTGAACTTCATCTGAGAAGGTGATGGTGGGCCAGTTCTTAACTAGATTAATTTTGTCTAGATCTGCAGAGAATTCGGACTCTGACACTACGTGGCCAAGAAACTTGATCGATCGCTGCAGGAAGCAACACTTTTTTGGGCTAATACTCAGACCTGCTTGATGATATCTTTGAAGGACTTCAGCTAGGTTGTCCAACATCTCCTTCTCAGTTGAGCCGAGATAGATTAGATATTTTTCTTGGAGGTGGCCCTGAAAGACTTTCTGCATTACACTTTGACAGGTGGCTGCTGCGTTGGCTAAGCCCACGGGAATAGTGCGAAACTCGCAGAGGCCAGAGGGCAGCGTAGAAGCGGTCTTTTCCCGGTCTTTTGAACCCACCTCTATTTGCCAATAGCTGCTGTAAAGTTCGAGAGTATAGAAGCACTTTTGCCCGGCCATAGCACTGACGAGATCGTCCATACGCGAAGGAGAAAAGAATCATGATTTGTTATCGCATTAAGCTTCCGATAGTCGATATAGATTCGGAGGAAGCCATTTTCCTTCTTGACGAGGGTGACCAGTGCGGCCGTGGGAAGGGTGATAGGGTAATGATGCCTTGTCGAAGATGATCGCCTATGAAGTTGTCTAGGTCTGCTCCGTAGTGCACCGGTATACGTCGTGGGGTTGTTCTCTGTGGAGGAGCGTAGCCTGTGTTTATGGTGTGTTGAATAAGGTTAGTTCTTCCAATGTCCGGACCTGCCCAAATAACCCCATCGGTAAACTGTGCCAGAAGATCGGGTAAGTGGAGGCAACTATCCCGTGGAATGTTTAAGGGAAGAATGTCGGTTATTGAGGTGGGTTCTGATGGAGGGCTGATAGCAGCAACGTCGAACACTTGGAGAGGAAAGTTTCGGTTTTACACGACCGTGGAGCATTTGGTGACACACATGTGAGTGCGTGGGATGCCGTACCCTAGGGTGACATTTCACCGCCAATCCGGAGAGACAAGAAAGGAATGCTGGGCTTGGATCGAACCGAATTTAACCCGGGCCGTAAATGAGCCTGTGACGTTCAGTGTGGAGCTGTTTGCTTTGATGACCAGTGGGGTGAAAGAAATCGACACTGGGAGGTTTGCAATGGCGAGGAACTTGGGGTTGACAGTGGACACTGCTGCCCCCGTGTCAATGAAAATAGTGGACTTGTGAGGCTCTCTATGGCCTCGAATTGCCAGAGCGTGGGGTTTGGTAAAGAGGAGAGAGATAAAGGGGAAGATCAACTCGCTTGCTCTGTTGTGTCCGTACCATAAATAGGTGTGGGCTTTTGGGGGGGAAATGGGGTGATCAACAATAGAATTACAGACCTTCGTTTGCAAACTTAAGTTGATCAGTGCTGGGGTGTCGTCGCCTTAAAGTGTTCCCCTTTAATAATTCATCCAAGCGGTTGTGGGTAGCTTAAAATTTTGTACGAAAATTTTGAAAATTTTTTTTATTGCAAATTTGAGGTGCCTTCCCCATAAAGAATTCAATCAAGTACGTGAGATTAGTTGTGTTGCTGTGTTCTAAACTGAAAAGCAGAACAAAACTGCCAAACAATAAATTATCTTAATAAACAGATCTTAAACTAATTCTCTGTAAAACAATTAAGCTAAGGATTAAACACACCGGTCGAGTCCCCACCGAATATTAGACCATTCCAACCATTCAACTGTGCACACAGTAACCCTAAATAACAAACGCAACAAATAGAACAAAAAACAGAGAAACTTTGCAAAACTGTGCAAAATACAGCTGCTTTCCACGTTAACATTATGTAAGCTTTGTTGAAACAGCCAGGAAATTTCAAGTGTTCTTAGGGAGAACCAGAATTTTATCGACTGATAAATACAATGTAGCCTAATAAAATATCACGCTTTGTAGGAACGCCAACAATCACTGACCCAAGCAAAATCCACTATCTCAATTGTCATCAAATTTCTTCTTCCTTATTGGCAATACGTCCGGTGCTATATGAGCATTTTGAATTGTCAAACAACACGTTTTACAACCTCTAAGTAATTCCGTTGGATTTTTGTGGCAATTATTTTCTTCACAATTGGCTGACAATAACGTCAAGAATGGCATTATCATTCAAATAACATTTCCACCACCAATGGGAACATATTTATAACGGAGGGTGGAAAAACAGAAAGCAATGACTCTTCCTACAAAACTTCAACTTCTCGTTGTGTGCATTATGATGAGTTTCGGGTTTCCTCCTGATCTCTCCTCTTAAATGTTGAAAGGAATCTTTTATTTAATGTGCATTAGAGCTGGTTTACTGTTTTAGTGATGCCTGATTTTATTGGTTAGAGTTTATTTTACAAGTAACCGTTGTTTAATTGAATGTGGGTTGTAACGTGGGCATTATAAGTGGTTTTTCATGTCCGCTGTTCAGTCTGGTGATCTGGACGATTTGCAAGTGGTTGGGTTCAAATGCTCTCTTTTCAATGATCCTGAAAAGAGCTTGGAAGTTAATAACGGCAAACTGTTGGTCCCCTGGGGAAATGATAGGAGTCTCATAATTGATCGGTGAGGATTAGTTTTACACACTTTAAGCAGGAATTTGTTTCACTCAATAAATAATTACTGGCTGTAATTTATCCAAGAACTTTGAGCAAATAAAAATAACTACTGACTTGTTTAGCCTCAAATTTCTCCAGTGGTTTGCTTTAAAATACACACCATCGTTATACTTAACTTTTTCTGCGGAATCCCTCGTGGTCCTTCTCCTTTTTTTGGTCGAATGTCAAATCGGTGCCCATAATTTCTGGCGTGTTATGATTCCTGCACTGGTCAGTTGTTGAAGAAGATGCGGTAATTAGTCATGTTTCCTCATGTTTTATGTACACTGTAGCCATTTGTGACATTAAACGTGTGATCGTCCCACAGTTCTCATCCTCCTTGTTGACACCCTTCTCAGATCGGTCTTTTTTATTTGTATTCGTGTAATTAATCCCGTTTTTCCGTGTTCTCCATATCCTTCCGAGGATTTTTCGTGGTTTTGCCCGTTATAGCATAATTTAAACTTTCAGGTCATAATTCCCCGTTTTCTTTTAGTTTCTCCTTGGATCCTCGAGGGGGCTTTGTAATATTTGCCTTAAACTGTATTTGACAAATGTATCTGAGTATTCACCAGAAAATATTCTCCTGGGTACTACTATCTATGCCCGTTTATGAGCACTTATTTTTCAATTTTACCTTCATAAGGTCATGTATTATCTAAATTCGAAAGGCTGATCTTTTCTGAATCAACGTCTTCAAATAGGACCAATAGGTTCAAATGTCGTGCTTCTTGGGCTCTTTAATTTTACACCATTTCGAACTAAGGATTTCGATTTAATCGTATTTTATCTTTCTGGTTAACGTCGTGCAATCATATTACGTCTCAATTTAACTTTCGATCTGCAGGTTTGATTGTCGCGGATACTTACAGAATGTGAGCGAATACGACGCGGATAATATTGTGCGAAGGGTGAGGTCCCAAACTTCCGAAGACGTGGCGCTTGAAGAAATGTGCGACTACGAGCGTTACCTCGAATTGCGGACCGACATTCACGAAATGGCAATTCTGCAGGGTGAGTGTCCTGCTGTCGCTTTTGAGGGGTCGCTCTAGACGGCGCCACTTGTCTTTGTCTCCTTTGGCTGGCCTCCTGGCGGCCATGTTGCCTGTGTTTTACATCCTAGTTTCCTTCATGCCCGATCACTTCATTTCTTCGTCATTCTCTTCGACACGGGTAAGTTTCTCGTTTATTCTCCGTTTTAAATTTCTCTATTCACGGCTATCAGTCTCTGCTTCAGCTTCCCAGGTATCAAGTCATGGTAAAGATATTCCTCGAGTTTCTTCGTTCAGGAGACCTCTCATTGTATCTACTTCATTTGGATGATGATGATGACGAAAAGTGGCATGTAATTGAATAAATACTGTCTAAATTTAAGAACCATTTCCGCATACCTAGAAACCACATTCTCCGTTACTAAAGTCGATATATTTTTTTTTCAGAGGAGGTGGCAAAGCGAGAAGTGGAGTCGTCCAAAAGTTCCTACTCTGCAGTTGGTTTCTCTTACGAAGAAACTAAACCAGAAAGCGAGAAGTCGCCAAAGGAATTGGAAAGTAAGTCTAGTTTGTCGTACTAAGACGTAAAAAGTCGATTTTAACGTATTTAAGCGACTTTTTTGTTCACAGGTTCTGACATAAAGGAAGCTGGTAACAAATCTGATAAAAACCCAATTCCTAAGGAACAAGATGATGAGCCCTACGTATGTCCGCCGGATTTGGTTCTTCCTCTGGGTACGACTTTACCAGATTTTGAAAGACAAGCAGCAATTATTGAGAAGACGGCCTTATTTATCGCTCGAAACAACGTTCAAATGGAGATTGTTCTTAAAACAAAGCAGGCAGGCAACCCACAATTTAACTTCCTTAACTACGACGACAAGCTGAATCCCTTCTACAAGGAGATGGTGCGACTCATAAAGATTGGTCGCTACATACCCCGACGGAGGCCTACTGTGGACACATCTGAATCATCAAAAGACGCAAGCAATCCGACGGTGAGTTGAATTTTCTTCGCTTAGTCGTTGATACTTTCGTGGAATATATTGTGCTCTTCTTGATTTATAGAAGTTTAGTAGCTTTGGTTGGTTGTACTGCCTCGTGTGCTATTCCAGGATAATCCCAGATTACAATTGCCAAAATCTGTGTTTTCCAGATTCCCTACGAGTTTTCTCTTTCAGCTGGAAATTGACGAGCCATACGAGTTAAAACTGCCGAAAGTTGATATCTCAACGACTGCGTATGCTTCTCTTATTAATCGGTTTAAGAAATCTGCGAGTGAGAAGTAAGTTGTCCTGTCCATCCCAGTGGCTTTTTCTGGCGTCTACTTTTTATTAGGCTAATTTTAATAGCCAAATATGAGGTGAAATATTGTACGTATAACAAATGAATGTATTTAAGTTCCTAGTGTCCACTGTTGGGGGCTGATTATCTGAATAGACAGTTAATTTGTACTTAGATGTAGAATATATTCCTGGGTATCGAGTAATTCCCAGTAAATTTCTTTTAATGTTAGACATCTTAGGTACCCCATGCTTGTTGTGAATAAAACATTCCCACACCCACCTCTTAAAGTTGAAAAGTGTTCTCGCTGACCGCGTCTTCACGCCTTTTGTAGTTATTGTTTCATCTTTTCAAAATGACTGCAACTTTAAGATTTGTTCCTGTTATTTGCTTAATCGAAGGTTAAATGGCACTCCCAAATCCACCGCCGAATCGCTTCAGGGTAGCGCGCCCCCATCACCCGCCTCTCTGAAGGAAACTTCCGAAACTGCAGCTCCTGGTGATGGTGCTGACAAGGTTGGAGTGAATCAGCCTCCTGAAATGCCTGTCATGTCGGAAGCCGACTATGAGCGTTGCTACCAGGAATACTATCGATACTACTATTCGCATTACTATTTACACTTTACAAACAGTGAAGCCACAGAAGCCACAGACGAGGCATGGTTAGTGTCGGAGTCTGCTCGGGCAGCTGCCACTGCCGCATCAGCCGCTGTCAATGCAATGCGACAATCTCATCTTCCCTTCAATTCGTGGTTAGTATTTTAGTGTGTTCAGTCTGAATTCCTTTGGACTGAGCTTCTCTCGTTCTCTAGTATTTTTTCAGCCATCCATTGCGTGTCGTAATTTCTGCACAAATATGTGATAGCACCTTTCCCGAACAGGAGCAGTCTATCTATTGTGGTCAATCAGTCGGTAACCTTTCATCTCAACACACACTGTACCTTTCCAAGCCATGCGCAAATGCTGACATTGCCGACAAGAGATGCTGTGTAGCTATTTTTAACCACCAGACATGCCGGTGGTATGGGCCACCTCAAAGTAGCTAATTTTTATTGTTTTGGTATTGATATTACACACGGTGTTGTTATGCCTTCTAAATAAATAAACGCCTGCTAAATAAACAAAAAAGGCCATCTACCACACTTTCAATGTCCGACGTTCTTTGGGATATTTCTTTTAACTGAACGATGTGTTGGTCCAACTTTTGCTTATAAAGATATCTGCAGTATGAAATCTGACCACCCACATGGAAATGTATGCAAAACTTGCCCATGCATACTACTTTCTAAGATGCTTTTTTTTATTATATTTCATAGTTAACTGTGGGATGCATTTTACCCGTAAGCCGAATATGCATATTCCCATCCGATGCAATACCGATAGTTCCAGATACTTTACTTTAATTAATACGAGTGAAATCGAAGTAATTTCATCGCTAGGTTTTCCTCCAATCGTCTGCTGATTGTTTTGGGAAGTTCACACAAAGGTGTATGGCTTAGAATCAATCAACTTGTTGGGTTCGTGGGCTAACACGCACCAGCGTCAGATCCGATTGGTGCGTGTCTAGTTTTCAGTTTCTAAATGGGCTTTTGAATCCATAAGTAGATAAATGTGATATGTTAATGTGGCTAAGGCGGTGCCGACCAGCGTCATGTTAAATTTATCTTGTCTGTATTAACTTTTTAGTACGACATCCCCGTCGTCTGAAGTGCGTGGAATAATTGACAAAATGGCAGAATATGTGGCTCGCAATGGAGAAGAATTTCAAGAGGTGGTTAGGAAACAGAAACAAAATGATTCGCGATTCGCATTTCTACAATCTGGGCACTTGTTTCACGAGTATTACCTTGCTAAGAAAAAGGAATTTATTGCCGCAATGGCCAAAAATAAAGACGAAACTGGGACAGAGTCACCAAGTCTTGAAAACGGCCGAGATTGTGAGTTTAAATTCGTAAACTTTCATGTGCCACCTTTTTTGCCACATCACAGTCGATCTATGACGTTTTAACATTACATGTTCACATTTGTTGGAGATAAATAATTACGGTTCCTCCGCTATTATTGTTCATGTGCACTGCTGAAGTAAACATCTTCTCGAGAAATTGACATGGTCTTGAGTTGTTCCCCAGAAGATGACTGTTTTGACCTTTACTGTGCGCTTTAGTGAGAGATTTTCTGAAGTTTAGCCCATTTTTTTTAAATAGGTTGGTTCAATTTTGACTTAAATAGAGCCAAATCACTATGTACGAATCGTGACTCGTGCTGCGTAAGTCAGACGAGGGCCAAGTTGATAAAGTTGGTTAATTGGCCATGGATCTGGTGATGAATTTGCCTCAATTCGGTGTTTTTGCAGACTTCAATGCGATTTAGTTGTGTTGCCACACGTGCCAAGTGTTTCGCCATTTCTAATGACCGGTCTCCATGGAGTAAAATGAAGCAAATTGCAGAAAACTTCGCACATCGATGTCAGTTTCACTAAAGATTCCAGATTTATATGTACGCGCATGATGCACAATCTTAGCTTGCATAGGCAATTTTTAACTAAATGCGTTAAAATCCATGGAATCGTGCGAGGGTCACTAATCCTACCGCGTTGTTGACTTTGTCATCAGTAGCGATCCGGTTCAGTTTATTGGAATCTTTTCATGAAGGTCAATATTTTGTTTTAGCCAAGACGCCGACGCCCAAAGAGGAGAAAAATGGCACAACCAAGCCTCGGGTCAAAGGTATCTCCTTCCGTCTAACCAAATCGGCTAGTTCAAGTCGTCTCAAGGGCATGGAAGAGTCCAGCCCCTCACCAAATGCAACCGGTGATGAGCCGCCTTGCTTGCGAGCGTCTGCCTCCTGCAATGTGCTACCCGGAATGAGCAACTACTCCTCCGAGACCGAAAGTGAAAGCGAAGAAGAGAAAGTCTCACCTCAACCCTCGCCCTCATTAAGGCCACGGGACGAAGAGACGACGGAACGGACATCAGCATTGCCTGTGGAAGTTCCAACTGGTGGGTTAGAAATTCGAAGCGTTCACGGAATTCGCAGATATATCCAGTTATTCATTTGGGCACGATGCCGTTTTGTAAACACGCATTCTAAGTTTTTTGATGTATTAAGGTACTGTAACGCAATGTAATCCTTTTTATAGTTGAGAATGACCTTTTCCCTTTCCAACCCAGTATTTCGCGGATAGATTGGTAGCAATGTGTGTTCCCCCAAAAATCCGTCGGTTACTTTTAGTCTTGTAGTAGATTCGATTTCTCTTTTCATAATTATTCCTGCATAGGTTAATTTCCAGCAAACATAATGTCGGTTAAAAGTCAATTTGCTTTAAGACCTAACTATTTTTGCCACTGATTGTTAATTAGTCTTATGTGATTATCTTAATTTTTAAATGTCCAGCGCATTAGGGAGGTACCTACGGATACTTTATACATCAGGGAAATCGGCATTTTAAAAGATAAAGGAAAGCACTTTCAACATGTGCAATTTCCGTTTCTGATTTCTAGTCAGCTTTTCCACAAGTCCTCGAGTCCCAGCACCTGTTTCCCCGTCCTCAAGAAAGTCTCCCACACCACCCCCTCCATCAAAGCAGGAAGCACCGATAAACCCCCGTCCCACAGCAACCAACACTCCTCCCTTAACCTCTTCCACCCTCACTTCGGAGGAAATTGCGCGCGACATACAGTCGATGGAGGAACAGGCCCGTCTGCAGTTGGAGCGACGCAAGCGAGCTGCCTTGTTTGCGGCGAAACTCCAGCAGGCTAAGTTGCTGCAAGCAGAACGCGAAGCGGAAGAGGAAAGGAGGAGGAGGGCATTAGCAGCCGTTCCACCACCGCCTCTACCGCCAACGGCGACTGCTGCACCGCCTCCTCCACCATCGTCGGTGCCAGCGGCTGTGGCACACGCCGTCGTTGCGCAACTCAAGACACAACGGGAGAAGGCACTGGAGGCTGCCGCTGCCGACAGTAGCAAAAAGGTGAACTATGTGACTCTTTTGTGTGTAGCAGTTCTCAATTAGACGTCTTCTGGCATACACTGCCTGATGACTCGTTCGTAAGGTGCAGTTATCGTTACTCCTTTGCCTTGCCGAGTACTGCGATGCGTAAGGGAATGGTGTGATTTATCGGAGTCGTCCAATTCAAGTCATCGCTTTGAAAAATGCGACGCGCGAGACTTCAGCGCCTTGTTGCAGAACTTGTTTAGTTTGTTCAAGTTACCCCTTCTTTGTGTGTGATCGGGCGAAAAGCTACCATGAATTCTGGCTCGTTTTGGTTGCAACCATTTTGTAAAAAAAGATCTCACTGAACTTCGGTGCGGTAGGTTTGTCTTTCACTTGTACGTAACTCGAAAGAACTGTCGTTCGAATGTCAACTAATGCAACTTTTTTTCGAAACTTAAATTGTAGACACATGGAAGATCAAAAAGAAGTCCCCCAGCCGCCTACACCAAGCGGCGACGACGCTCCTCAAGGTCTTCCCCGCACGACCGCATCGGCGGTAGTTCAAGCAGTCGCAGTCGCAGACGACGCTCCCGGTCCACTTCCCATGAAAGGGAGCGGGGCCACAGCAAAAAGCGTCAGTACAGGAAAAGCAGCCAATATCCTTGATCTCGATTACTCTCATTAGTATTTAGAGTGGTGAAAGACTAATTGACACACTATGCATTCTGCTGGAAAAACGATTTCCGAAACATAAAAGAATTTCTGTATGTGCATGGTTTTTTTAAGTCCGTCAAAGCTTTGGGTGTTACATAAATACCCTATCAAAGTGTACATGTTATATTATTTGACTTGTCAGCGAAAACTTGCCAATTATTTGATCCAATGTATCGAAAATGTGGAAAATTCACTAATAGTTATTTCCGAAGATCACACCCAGGTTTTGCCTTCTCTTCTAGATACTCTGCCAAGGTAGTGATTAAGGTCGACCAATGAAGTAGGATCGTACTGCGTAAGATGATCATATAGTGTAGAGCGAGAGAATTGTGTTTTTACAAGAAATTCAGGCAATTAATTAGCCTATATAAGACACAAAGAGCGCAGTTGGGGTTTAGGTCAGTGGTGGGGTCGCGCAGGTCCGCCATTCCTAAAGACAAAACTGCTACAAGTGTCGTGCAGGTGACTGCAGTGGCGCGTAATTTGTTTAGTCGGTGCGTAACAACCTTCGGCTGTTCAGTAGGTCCTGCGTCTGAGCCAGCCTAAAGAGAGATTAAATTTGTATGTGGGGGCTGTGCGATGTGCTTGTAAACTCGGTAAAATTAAGTTAGCGGGGTTTTACCTATCGCGTGGTAAGATGTTTTGGTCCTATGGAAAGAAACTAACAGCTGCTTTGCCATGGGCATCAGTTGTGTTGGGATAGCTGAACACTTGTGCATAACTTTAATATAGAGTTAAACTTGAAGGATTGAGGGGCGTGGATGTTTGGTTATTAACAATCTAAGGTTTGATTCCACGGGGCGTTTGTTAATTACGTCAGCCGAGATCTCCGCCTGTAAAGGGAATGCCATTTCGGTATTTTACTGGGAGGAGGTGACGCACTGTATGCTTTGTTATTTCTGCAAAATTAGTACCCACTCTTGGAAATTGCCTATCAAGTGGTCTCAAGAAAAGACTTAGGTGCCTGCGGGAGATCTCAACGGGTCTGTCACATCGTATACGAAAAATGTCAAATGCCCAGGTGCGTACCGTGATTTAACGAAGACTAGAGTGAGGCTCAACGAAAGTACAAAAATCCTCTACGGTTCTGAGACAGAACACTCATTGGACTTAACAATAACTCTGGGATAGCGGGATACCAATGTCACTTCGCGTTTCTGATACAAAGATGTGACTTACATATTTGAGATCCTGTCCACTTGGTGTTTCAGTTCGTTATCCCCATGTCGACTTTCCTCACTCGTGGAGTCTCTACGATGCTGGTTCGTAAATGGAGAGGTTCGCGTGATTCGATTCCCTTCGTTCCCAAGGTTCGTTTTCCGCTTCCTGGAACACTGGACCTCCTTAAGATCATCATCGAACCTACTGTTGGCTGTCACGTCTGCAGTGTCGCTTGAAGTAGTGCTCCCGTTGGAATATTTTAACACGCCATGAGAATCCGATTTTGGTTGCTGTCTGAAAGCAGGTTTTGTCTTAAAAGAAACCAAATAGCACGTAGATACCCCACGAAACACGTTGAACCGTTGAGTTGCCAGTGGTGCACCGGTGACACTGTCTGCAAAGGGACCCAAGTAACACGGACAAGCACATCACCCTGACCCAGGATTTTCTCAGTCTATTGTTTACCAATAAATATTGCAAATGGTTAAAGTAATGCAGAATTTAGCGTTCAGCTTTCTCTACACCGTTAACCATTCTGGAAAGCTCTAATATATTATAGCACGACGTTGAAGTTGACTTTTGTCAAAAATATTTCGACCACAATATGAACTGTTAAAAAAAATCGCATTTTACGATTCAGCAAAATTCTGTTTGGTAGAGTTAATGTGTAGGGGGACTTTTCTCGTCCCAGTGATTCATGGCGGATGCGATCTCGGAATCTTAAGCTGTAATTCTCTACCTAAAACAGTTGCACAGTTAATAAAACCACAGTTGTCATTCCGATCCACGCCTGTTACTTCACGGTTTGAGTTCACCTAGTGGACAAAAATTGGCTAGACTGCACTTGGTCACTTTCATAATTTAAATCTTCCAACAGTTTGTACGCATTACTGGTCTCATCACGTGACTTCCAATTAATGCAAAACTCAAATACCTGGCTTCCTCGCGAATCGAAGGTACTTTAATATTATGTGTGGGTGTGTGTGTGTGTAGCACATTTAACTTATCCAAAACCTATCGAAGAGTCAAATGACAACGATCCGATTCAAGTATGGCATTGACTAGGCCATAAATTCAGTAAAACGACTTGCACGTTAGTAGGGTTTGAGTGAAAAATCCCCACCCTGAATTATTAGTTTAATTCCGATACGTGTGTCATTTTAATCAACCAGCACCGTAGGCGTCATCTATCGTTTTGTGCTCCTCAGTGGTTTTCTTGCCTCATGAGGGTGAGAATTGAAATATACGCAAGATGTTGGCACATTTAGCATATCCTTAGCTTAAATTGCTCCTGAAATACGCCAAATGTGATGTCCACCAATAATCGAAATGATTAAAAATTTTAGCATTAACAGGAATTCCTCAGGACAAACATAAGGCAAACTCGGAAACGAAAATTTCCTCACAACTAAGCAATTTATTTTACACAAAAACCAAAACAGGTGATGACATTTTCGAGGAGGGAAAACAAATTTGAGTGGAATGTATTAGGTCCACAACTTGCCAGTGACTACTAGGCGTATTTTCAAACTCGTTACTGACTTGCTTCGCTAATAAGCAAACATGGAAGACCTGCTCTTAAAGCAGCCAGTATCTAGTGACAGTCTTATGAAGGGAGATGTCCTGCACAGACAAGTGCATTGTCAGCAGTATTATCAAAAGGCCCTCGTTAGACGGGAAAGTAAACTCACGCGAGTGTCGCTAGTCGCTACTCGTAATACGCGTATGAGCTTGATTCAAATATCTAACCTCTGCTGTGTCGCATTAAATAAACAGTAATTATGACGATAAAATGAATTAAAGCAATGAAGGTCGTGGATTTTGCAAAAAAAAAAACATTAAACTGAGTGGAGGGCTGAACTTGTCCACCAAAACCAAATCAGGTTAGTGGCTCGTTTCTTGACTTGAGTTAAACACTGAGAACGTTATCAAGGTAAGGCGAACTAATTAGGATGGTAATTGAAACTGTCGTGAACTTCTACGGGGCATTTCAGGTTAAATCGGTGTTTTGTGTTTGCGTAATTATAGAAGCTAATTCTAAATCCCCAATTCTAAATCCCTAAATGCAACTCATTCCCGCTCTGAGGATAGCTGATGGGCCATTCGTTCGTAGACCATGAAAGGAAAAATTACAACGTGCATGCACCTAATCGGTAAGGCCAAAATTTCCTAATTTCGAAAAAAACGTTTGTTTTTTGAATAAGTTAGATCTCTGAAGTGCTAACTAATGGCTAAGAAGAAAATCTACCAAAGACGGTGTAGTTTTGTGGTCAGTTGTTTTACGATTGAGTGATGTCCGTACGCTTTGTGAAATTTTGACGCACGAAGTTTGAACAGACGCATGCAAAAACAAAGGCAGTTAAGTCGAGAGAAGTTTTCCGCGTGGCAATGCAGCGGAATACATTTTGGGATTCATAAACCAAGAATCTAAAGCAGATCATGGCAGATTAGTTTTAATACCTTTTCTACCGGTGGCCGGACAAGGCCATGTATAAGAAATGGAAGAAGGGGGATGTTATTGATCCTACGTGTACAGCATACGCGAATGGTAAATAAATTAAGAAAAATGACTTTCTAACAGGGAAATACAATGTGGTGAGATTCTTTATGAATACACAAATCTGACCCAATGACTAAAGGCCAGGTGCCGAAAAACACCTACTGTAATTTCATTTCTTTAAGGGCCCATATCAGTGATGCTGCAAAGGTAAAACTGGGACTAAACTGACCGCGGTCGTAGTCACTCACGTTGTGAACATCGATGGCGGTATCGTTTTCCGCAGAGGCCCGGGTAACACCTATTTCGTGATTGACAGCGGGCTGAGGGAATGACTGCAGAGGATCTGAGTCAAGATCACACCATGTGGGACCAACATGGACGCCATCTCCACTGCTTGTAATGGGCTGACTGAACACCCGGTTGCAGGCAGGAGCGTTGCAGGTGACTGGTTGATCCGACAGTGTCCGGCGGCATGGAGATCCCGCATTGCAAACTCTCAGATTGGTCGAATTATCGGGAGGGCCAAGAAATTCCGGAGGGTAACCAGTATCAGCTGATTTGCCATGTACAGGGCGGGGGCTACAATTGCCCTCAAAGGTGATTGACTTTTTAGCGGGTGCATCGACTGAGTCAGGAGGCTTCAAGGAGGGATTGTTCTTGTTATTCGGGGCTTTTGTCTCGAAAGAAAGCTAAAAGTGAAATGGTAAAGCAACCCGTCGATTCTTTATTAAGAATTACGCATTGTGTGAACAGTCGCTAGGACTACGAGTGCATTGACTTCCCACGTACTTTTGACCCATCCGATATTTCAAAACACCGGTCAATTGATGCATACATAAAATGTAGTTTGTTGCTACTGATACTTAGAAGAATTGGGGGGTCACAGAAGGGTAGGATGCTTACGTTTGTTCATATAGTGCGGCCGCGTAGACCTGTACAAAACCAGTGTGCCTAAAGTAGTGAATGCGGGCCGATGCTAAGCTAAATTGAGAGAATTGAACCTCAAATACGACTTCTACAAGTATCTTAAGAATATGGTAAACAAAGAAAGAGATCGCCAATGTTACTTCCCTCAAACAAAGATAGTATTTTATTTAGATATTAAGGACATGCACTGCATGTCAGCTTCCTTAGATAATGTCCACTTAGTCTAAGATTAACTTAAATCACGTTACAGTTTCATCTTGCAATGATTTTACACCACACTCAAGCATTTTTAGCCTCTGTTTCAGACCAGTCACGTTACCAAGAAAGATGATATTTCTATTGCAGAGGTCATCCTGTAGAGGTTAGATAATTGAAAACCACACAATATACACAACTAGACATTTCAGGAAGTAAGTGCATGCACAGCGCTGTGGTAGGTTAAAGCCTGATTTAAACATGAATAGTCGAATTTCGTCGCAACAAAAGGCGTACAAATATGCGGGTCTGTAAATTTTAATGGCTGAACTGTTACTAGGAAACTCACGAGTGCCTGGAAAGGGAAGTGTGTACGGAATTAACGTGGATTTGGGTTAAGTTAAAACAGTGGGAATTTGCTCGAACAAATTGCCATCACGGTTTGCATCCACCCATTTATAAAGAAAGCCCCAATTAAAAATCGGTCGCGTCTAGTAAGTAGATCTAATTTGTGTTAACCACATTTAATTCGAGAAATTGCGTAGTCGACGTCTTCCTGTCGAAACACATTTAGACAATGGTTCATAGCCGAGTTTTCTTGACTTTACCAATAAGAACAACGCCTAATTATTGGGACCAATTAAAAAGAGGGCTAGACTAAACACTAAATAACCTTACAAACTTTACCTGATCTGGCACTTGTTGTTTTTCAGGATTTTTCAGTTGACTGACAGATTCAAGTATCGGCTGTTCGATGGCACACACTCGTAACTCGATACCAGCTATCCGATTTACGAGGTGAGACAACTGATTTGAGATAGAATCGAGAGTGATCGAAATTCCGCGCAAATATTCAGCATCCTCCACATACGTTGGTTTCAGTGAAGCAGAAAATGTCTCGTTACGCTAAAATTAGAATGAGTTTATAAACCCACACGAATTAGACCAATAAAAAAAACAATTTCCAGATATTTTACCAAATTTGAAATTAATCCTTGCTCTTGGCATAGTGCGTAACGTGAAAAACAATGTGCCATTTCCTTGTAATAGATATAACCAATAGGTTAGGATCTCTGAAGTAGCTTCGGCCACCGCGTTTCTACATGCCCCGGTATTGCTCAGTTTTTAGACGAGACATCGCTAGAGATAAAAGCCCATCGAGTCTTTAAGAAAGTCCGGTAACGTTAATAAAAGAGACTCAGGTTTGGAATTTAATTTATTGGCTTCTACAAAACGGATCTCTACCCTATAGACAAGGTAGTGTTGAAAACGTACCTTAAAAATTCTAATTGGCTCATTTCTTACTAAAAAAAGAAGCTTAAAAAATGCATATCAAATAAGACTGTTGCTCTAGTGCAACTTGCATTCAATAGCCAGCAAAAGCTACCTGTCGCATAGATTCGAAATCGCGATCCAAATATGCAGCGTTTTTAATTAACAATACCGGCGAAACTGCACAACAGCAAACTTTGTAGTGAGTGAGTTATTTCTACCCAGTTTACACAAATTAAAAAATTAAACCAAACGTGAATTATTTACAAAGCCTTGTCTCGGCGGATTAGCCGACGAAAGTGACTCCAACGGCTCGTCGTCAAACGTGGTCTTTCCAGGCACCTGTACAGCCCCAAGTCCAAGGCCTAAGTCGCGGCCCTTAGGGTGCGCCAGAGGCTGGTCGAGCTGAGGTGAGGAACAAAGAGTGCGGCGTGGTTGTGGTTGCGTTGGTGGTGAGGAGAGAGGCTGTTTCAACACACTGCAGCCGCCATTTGAAGGTTTGTTTGAGGCTAAGCTCGCGTCGCAAGCGGTCTGAGCTCGTTCGCTAGCCGGAACACAATCCGCCGTGGAGGAAACGCCTTCCCAATGCAGTGGTTGTTTAGACACTGGCATAGGAGATAAGGAGCGCGGAGACGAGCTTCTCTGGCTAAGTGAACCAGGAGGGGCTGAGGTGGAACAAGGCAATGCGGACACGCTGCAATCACCCGTTGATCTCCTTTTTAGATCTTTTTTCAGTGCGCCAAATGCTTTGATAATTGCAGTAGCCATGTGGATCTTCTTCTCTATGAACGAGTTAGTGAAAAATTGAGCCAATGAAAGTGCAGGTTTCATGTTGAGGATATCGCGGCAGATCCGGTAAAGAGATTCCATGAAGCGACGATCTTCAGTTTCTTCAAAGAAAAAACAGATTTAACATTTGATGAGTCCTGACACGTTTAAAGTACTGGCAGATCTTTATGCAGGGGCCAACAATACACAAAATACGGATTTAGTCAATAACTCAAATACTTGAAAGCCTTTCATTAAAAGTGTGCATTGAGCCAAATTATTAGCCGAAATGTCAGGCATAGAAGAATACAAAGGTACAAAGTCGATAATACCGAGCGTAACTCTATCAAATATACGTGTTCATGGTTAGTGAAGTAGTACTTAGAGTTAATTAAAATATAACATGAAAGATTATGCAGAAATGTGGGTGCTCTACAGGTCAGGAAAACGTACCAGATAATAGGAAGTTATTAGATACAAGAAACTGGTGAATTTCGTAGTCGCATTCACAAAGGTGTCGGTAAAGGATGATCAGCGGTAAGTAGGAACCAAGGATAATGCTACAATTAGAGGAGTGCACTGTTTAGGTCCGAATTTGAAGTTAAGAAAGAAAGAAGAATAGAACTTACGAGTGAAAATCAACATCCACCTTCAAGTGAGACAGTCGTAATTGACGGCGTAGTAATTCAACAGCCTGTCTAAGATCTGGCATATTAGATTACTGCATTGCCAACTTTTGTCTAAATACAACCGGGAAAAGTAAAAAAAACGGCGCTCCACCAAATGTATAGACTGAAAATTACCAACGAGATTTTAAAAAACTCATGAAATACGCAAAGATAAATTAATTTTTGTGCGAACGTCCTGTCGCATAGAATCTCTTTATGAATCCAAAAAAGTTCATGATGATAAACGTTGTGACAACGAATTAAAACCATTGTGTTGGCTAAATTTGTGATATTACCAATGGCACAGGATCCAGGGTTATGGAACCCCTTCTCTAAACTGCCGCAAAAGGATCCGGTTCGTTGGCTTTATCCGCGTAGTTGAACCTTAGCATGGCAGTTAAGTGTAACTAGTACCTTTCCGAGGAACTACACTGACAGTCATTCCAGTGGCACTGTCACTAAAAAACAGGGGGAATGACAAATCCAAACGGTATGTAGATAGAGAGTAGTGGAGTTTTAATCAATTCGGCAGACAGGAAGCAGGGGAGGAAAAAAAAATGGGCCGGTAACGTTATCATTTGAAGTGCTTGGACGTTTGATGCCGATTCTGTGAAGGGAAGTTTTCAGGTCACAGAGGGGAAAATTTATTTACATGCTGAGTCAACACGTCACACACTGATACACCAACGGATAGGCCAACGAATATTTGACAGCAGGTAAGCTAGGTGACTATCATAAATCGCCGCGCAATACCTACCTGGTTTGAGTATTTGTAACATGAGATCACTCTAATCTTAAAGTATGCACCGAGTGTGAAAATACCGATTCACAAACAACTGAGATTCTTGACTGGTTGGAGTTTATAGAACTTGTCTAAGGTGAATAGCTACATGGATTTGAAAGTGTGCGAAAATCAGTAGTTTTGGCCGCAACCGCGACGTAGGTTGCGAATCGACGATGTGGTGGATCAGAATATCCTTTTCACCGGACTCTGTGGGAGTTGACCAAACGGAAAATTTGGGGCTTTAGTGGACGAATTAAAGTCAACAGACGATCTGCAGCCCTGACCACGATTTATCCGCGTAATAACCCTCTATCGCGTATGCCACTATGGGAACGGACTGGTGGGTCGAGCATTAAGTTCTCCTACAATTAACCATTTTTAGTCGGTGCAAAATGAAACAATGCTCTGTGCATGACGAAGTCATGGAGATACATAATCGTCTTTGCAACCGCGCACCTCTAACAACTGTTTCATGTTGGAAAACAGCTGCCAGAAATGCGCTTTGCACCGGCCAACCACACTTTATGGTAAGGCAATGCCTTAACCACCATATTCGTCAAGTCCCATATCAGCTGATGGAATAATTTTATCTGGGAATTCCTGAATTCTTCAAAACACCTCTAAGGTTGGTGACTCACAATTCTGACAAAAGTACTTTAGATTACAGAACATTCCAGTGCAACATTTGACTTTGATTGTTTAATTGTGTGAGGAAATCCAAACACTTTGTGGGTTGATGTTTTACATTATTGCGAATACATGATGTACAGCGCCACTTGTTCCGTGAACACACACTGCGACCAAGAACCTGAATTGCCATCGAAATTCTGGCGCTCACGGTGAACCCGCCGATGCAGCCGTAACCCTGCCAAAGCCACGTAGAATCTCAGACAGACTGACAGACAATGCAACTAGTAAACAGGTACACTTAGGAAGCCGTCTCTGGGTTCTCAAACCCAGATCCTAGCTCAAGTCTACTCAGGTTGCTCAATATAAGGTGGCCACATTTTTAAGCTGCGGCATATTTAACCATGAAACGGGCTAAAATGTTGTGAAAAAGTCTCAATGTGCACGGTGCGTTACGAGTCTAGGAGAAAATGAATCATCTAGCGCTCAGAACTCTTAAAATATTGCACAAACAGAAAGGTGCGGACAGATTCACAGTGAAGTCACGAACATCGGTGAAACAGTTGAGAACTGTGAACACAAAAAAGTCCAGGCTTGCGTGATCGATTTATATTCATTAAAAATTTCCCCGCTATAACCAAAAATAATGTTTACATAAGAACAAAGAATAAAGAAAACAATCAGTGCGATTTTGAATGAAAGACAAAGGCGAAATCTGGTTAATTGTCGAGACGACGACTAAGTACTGTAGATGACATCGGATTGTCTAACGGTCTCGACAATGTCCTTATTAGGCATCCATGGGAAATTAAGGGTTGGAGCGTATTGGATGAGTGGGCCGAGTTGAGACAAGGAGGGACGATCTGGGGGAATGACAATCCTCTTCGTAAATTCAGAAGTTCCTGTGCCAAAGGCAGCGTTCAGGTAGCCGTCAATGGCTCGTTCTGTGCATTCAGCTACAACAAAAGGAATATACCAATTTTGTTTACGGCGCCAGGTTTAAAACTCTCAACAGCCTATTTTCCGGAACGCTAGGAAGCATGTTTCAGACTACAATTAGAAAAGAATATAAAAGTATTATGGGAGATATTGTACTGAATCGTGATTTATGTCCACCAATTCCGCCGCCACAGGCTCAGACATTCCGTCCCATTGCCCATAGGGCCACGACGGTCGATTATACACTCCTCCGCACATACCTCTTCCGATGCTTGTTCAAGCCTTTCACCATTCAGGTATTGATGCAGTTACTAGTTCATCCGAATTCTATTGATAAAAGGGTTTTTTATTCCTACCGAACGCGTTTAGGACTTATAAGAATATAAGACCTCGAACGCACACGCCAAACCATCTAATAAAGAGTTGTCTTTGTAATCTCCAGTCGCCTTAACTTTCCCGGGCATCGCTATGGTTTAATCAGGCCAATACAGCGTGGAAGCTTCGGTGTGCTTCTAGGACATTTCGGAACAATTATAACATCTTGATGATGCACATGATTGCTGTGACACAAGATGTCCTGATAAAGTTCGCGAATGCTCTGTACCAGCAAAGTGAATGAAGGCCTCAGTGCATGCATGACTAAAACACTGACACTACGCTATGATGGGTGTTGTGACAAGTTCCCACTCATAAACCTATACAACTGAACTTGGTTCAAGCTAAAACCTGAAAACGTAACAGAGCAAAATCTTCAAACCGTAAATGGATTATGGTATGGGAAATTAAGAGGCATCTGGAGGGAACAAAAAATAAACCAAACATAATTCTGATAGAAAAAAGGCTGTCAAGAGAGAGAGAGAGAGTTTGAAGTCAACGGATCACATATGTACGTCAATGGCATCTCAGAAGACAACCACGAAACTATCAGGAATGGCGTAGAAATGGCCTAAGGCAGGTCCGAAAAACAACAAACGAGTTGATATGACCCTAGATAGCACAAACTACTATTTGAAAGAAATTATCAAATAAACAAGGTCAATGTTTAATAAAAACCAAACTTTTCAAGGTGTTCACCACGCTTTTTTTTCGGAATAAGGATATTCTTCTTGCAGGTGCCTCAGCTCTTCAAACAAAAGCGAATTAATTCAGTTATTTGGAGTGAAATTTGCTTTTTTACAAAAACAATTCCTTACATTCTTTTAATTTGCAGAACCTTTAAATCATGCATAGATTAAACTACACACGCATTACCTCGAGACAAACTTCGAAGAAATCGAACACCGCAACGAGTCCCAGGTACAGACTCTAGCCAAAATGAACTAAGATCAAGGAAATTAGGTCGTGCTTCCCTCTGTGACGTAATTTATTTTGCACGATTAAGACTAACCCGAAATTTAACCACATTCCACAATAAGATAGTCACTTGCTAAAGAGAACTCATAAAAAAATAAGGTAAGCCGAAGGCCAATGCGAAAATTCGATGAGACCGAATGTCACTACTTAAAAGATGTTCGAATGACCTACCGATAAATCGAATAAAAGGTCTCACATCACCCAAGTTGGCAGTTTTTAAAGTTTCATAGTAAATATGGCGATCTTCCTTGCGGACAATTGCCGGAGGATAGCCCGCTCGCATGAGAAGCAAATTCATGAGAAGTCGGGCGGTACGGCCATTGCCATCATAGAAGGGGTGAATGTACACAAGCTTCCAGTGGGCTAAGGCAGCCAACTCGATCGGATGCAGGGCTCCAGCCTCGTCAGAATTTATCCACTCCACAAGTTCATTCATCAACTCAGGCAACATTTCAGCTGGGGGTGGGACATGATCAGCTACAAAAACCTGCAAGACATGACACGCTTGGAAAAACATCTAAAAGCATTTAAAGCCCGATTTCTCGTGTGTGTCAAACGCTCGTTTTTGAAGCCGCTTCATAAAAGAAAAAAAAATGAATTCAACTACATCAAAATTATTACTAATAAAAGAGGAACTATCGGATAAAATACTACAATGGTGGATACCTAACTGTCATAAAATGCAAAAAGTAGAGCAAAATTAGACGATTAAATGGTGGGTGGCAAAAACATGTCCGCTGATCAGTCCGTGTAAGCGGTGCACAAAAAATAACGGCCAGAATATTGATATAGCGTACAAAACGTACTTGAGTTTGTCGAAGGCGACCAGCCTCAGTCAAGTCAACGAATGACAAAACCCTTCGGTGAAGTTCCATAATATCTGATAAAAATATGGGCGTGGACGAACCGCTGAGTAACGTCGTATTGAGGTACCTGAAAGCTGCATCTAAACCAAGAACCTAGAAATAAAATTTACAGCTAAGCAGCATATAGGCCCCAAATTATTAATTCTGTTTAAAATGTATTTACTCAGACGTCTGTTAAAGCAGGACAAGATATCGAAATTAGAGGAATTCAGATATAAACGTATCGCAAAACTTGACCAAACGACACTTACCTCATTCTGTTCCTGAAGACTTTTGCCACCAATGGCCAAACGCGTTTCCAAAACCGCCCTTGTCTGAGCCAGAGAAAGCGTATTTCCTTCAATAGCATTTGAATGGTAAATATGCTGGAAGTAATGTTCGATTTTCGCTTTCCTTAAGCCAGGGTCCGATTCCGAGACAAGGTAGAAGCGAGCAACTTTCATGTCAATGTTGCGAAAGCTACAAAGCAAATAAGCACAAATGAAGCAGATCAAAAAATTCGCCTATCAAACAAGGTGTCGCCAACAAAACTGTTCTGAAGGATTTCGGGCTACGACTTCAAAAAAAAACAAACGAAAACTGTAAATTAGTTGGGCACATCTGATACGCTTTGACGACAACCATAACAAAGAAACCGATGAATTCGCCTAACCGCGCAAGGCGTTTAAGAAAGCATTGAAATATGGGAATAGATTGCCTGAAAACAGACTGCACGAGAGTTACAAAAAACGGAGCAGGCCACGACAACCGCAGTACAACTCACCGCTGTTGATCTAGTTTCTTTACAATTGGCGAAGTTCGACGACGGTTGCTTGAAGCTCTGACGTTCGATGGGTCAGTAATTAAAGCTTTGGTGTAAAAGGACTCGGCCGTCAAAAGCATATTCGATTGTTCAGGAGACAACACATTCTCCTGAATGTCCCTGCCAACTAGTAATGAAGATCTTTGACCTTTATTTGAAGTAGTCATAATTTTCTCAAAAGCTTCACCCAAAAGATTTAGAATAGCGGAGTTTTGAGAATCAAGTATAGCAGCATGTTTTAGTAGTTTTAGTGCCGCTTCTGAATGCCCATTAGCTTGGTGTTTTATAGCTAGAAGCACACTCATCTCTGCCTCCTTCT